GAAATTCATTTGAGACTGGAATGAACTTTACTTGACACAACATTAAAACAAATGTATTAGGCCACATAAAAAAATTATTAGTTTATCACCCTATCAAAGAATAAATTTTAATGATGATCACAAGTAAATCAATAATTAGAGACACATATATAAAAAGTCATAATGGAATCAAATTTATATTTAAAAATATGTTTTTGTTGTACCAGTAAACATATTTGCAAGAAATCCTAAGCTTTTCAAGTGAAAAAAGATGGAAAAGGGACCGTTTGAGTTAAAAATATATGTTAATTGGAAAAAAAAAAATAGATTTTCCCCAAAGTGATGAGGGAGCGGATGATAGACTAATATTTTTTTTATGGGGCCTTACAAACCATTGCCACTGTCGTCCCTATCGCCACTAAATATTGCCTATAGTATGCTGTTTATGTTTTCGCAAATATAAGTGCATGAAGGAATAATTAATAAAAAAAAAATGTGCACTATAGCGCCTACCGGTACTCTTCAAAATTCTAATTTACAAAATTTTATAAAATAAACAAAATATTATTATAGTGTAGCTTTGAATATGAAATGGTCATTAATCGCATCGAACACAGTCAGTCCTTCAATGTAGTTTCTTGAGTTGTATTATAATATTGTTTCTGGCAGGATTCAAACATAGTGAGTGTCATAACGTTAGAGACCATTCAATTTTCGACATATTCATTTATTAGAAATCACAAGTGCTTACAATATGGAAGAGGGAATGATAGATTTATGAAAGAGCCATCAAAATAATACACAAAAAAAGAGAATGAAGTCAAGAAGATTTTATTCTGTTTTCATTAATTTTAGAAATAATGTATTTCATTAAGATTTTATTAGTAGAACATTCGGCGCGGCAATGGGCGATTTTTAAGGTTTACATTCCAAAAGAGGAAGCATGTGTGGGTCATTTTATCGTATGCATAACAATAGTGATCCAGTAGTGATTGTCAGGCTTGTTAGGCTTATATTATTTATGATGTCATAGATTCAGATTGTTAGGCTTATATTATTTATGAGTCATAGATTCAGATTGTTAGGCTTATATTATTTATGATGTCATAGATTCAGATTGTTAGGCTTATATTATTTATGATGTCATAGATTCAGATTGTTAGGCTTATATTATTTATGATGTCATAGATTCAGATTGTTAGGCTTATATTATTTATGATGTCATAGATTCAGATTGTTAGGCTTATATTATTTATGATGTCATAGATTCAGATTGTTAGGCTTATATTATTTATGATGTCATAGATTCAGATTGTTAGGCTTATATTATTTATGATGTCATAGATTCAGATTGTTAGGCTTATATTATTTATGATGTCATAGATTCAGATTGTTAGGCTTATATTATTTATGATGTCATAGATTCAGATTGTTAGGCTTATATTATTTATGATGTCATAGATTCAGATTGTTAGGCTTATATTATTTATGATGTCATAGATTCAGATTGTTAGGCTTATATTATTTATGATGTCATAGATTCAGATTGTTAGGCTTATATTATTTATGATGTCATAGATTCAGATTGTTAGGCTTATATTATTTATGATGTCATAGATTCAGATTGTTAGGCTTATATTATTTATGATGTCATAGATTCAGATTGTTAGGCTTATATTATTTATGATGTCATAGATTCAGATTGTTAGGCTTATATTATTTATGATGTCATAGATTCAGATTGTTAGGCTTATATTATTTATGATGTCATAGATTCAGATTGTTAGGCTTATATTATTTATGATGTCATAGATTCAGATTGTTAGGCTTATATTATTTATGATGTCATAGATTCAGATTGTTAGGCTTATATTATTTATGATGTCATAGATTCAGATTGTTAGGCTTATATTATTTATGATGTCATAGATTCAGATTGTTAGGCTTATATTATTTATGATGTCATAGATTCAGATTGTTAGGCTTATATTATTTATGATGAGTTGACTGTGGCCGAGTTGACTTGTGGCCGAGTTGGATCGAATTCGTCAGGCTTATGTGTATATACAGTAAGATGATCAGATTCCGATTGTTAGGCTTATATTGGTTAAGATGTAGAATCTGATTGTTAGGCTTATGTGTATATAAGATGTATAGATACCGATTGTTAGGCTTATATTATTAGTTAAGATGTCATAGATTTAGATTGTTAGGCTTATATTATTTAAGATGTCATAGATTCTGATTGTCAGGCTTATGTGTAGGCCTATATAAGATGTATAGATACCGATTGTATAGGCTTATATTAGTTAAAATGTAATAAATTCAGATTTTTAGGCTTTTATTATTTAAGATGTCATAGATTCTGATTGTCAGGCTTATGTGTATATAAGATGTATAGATACCGATTGTATAGGTTTATATTAGTTAAGATGTCATAGATTCCGATTGTTAGGCTATATTATTTAAGACGTCATAGATTCTGATTGTTAGGCTTAGGCCTATATTAGTTAAAATGTCATAGATTCTGATTGTTAGGCTTATGTGTATATAAGATGTATAGACTTATATTAGTTAGATGTCATAGATTCAGATTGTTAGGCTTATATTATTTAAGATGTCATAGATTCAGATTGTTAGGCTTATATTATTTATGATGTCATAGATTCAGATTGTTAGGCTTATATTATTTATGATGTCATAGATTCAGATTGTTAGGCTTATATTAGTTAAGATGTCATAGATTCAGATTGTTAGACTTATATTATTTATGATGTCATAGATTCAGATTGTTAGGCTTATATTATTTATGATGTCATAGATTCAGATTGTTAGGCTTATATTATTTATGATGTCATAGATTCAGATTGTTAGGCTTATGCGTATATACAGTAAGATGTTTAGATTCCGAATGTTAGGCTTATATTATTTAGATTCTGATTGTTAGGCTTATGTGTATGTACATTAGTTAAGTATAGATTCTGATTGTTAGGCTTATGTGTATGTACATTAGTTAAGTATAGATTCTGATTGTTAGGCTTATATAGAAACAGGCAAAAACTCAAATATTAAACTGCTTAGATACATATAAGTTCTCCTTTATTCTTGACGTTTTTCTGTGGGGAACAACGTTAGAACCAATAAAAAAATTATTAGTTTATCACCCTAGTAAATGCTTTTTATGGTACTGAAAAATATTTTGAAAAAAAAAATTTTTTGAAAAAAATGGGGTTTTTTTTGAAATTTTTTTTTTTGAAATTTTATTTAATAATTTTTTAAAATTTATTTTATTAAATAGTTAGTAGATATTGTTTGCATTATCTAAATCATGTTTTACTTTGAATATCAATGCACCAGCAAACAAACCAAGGGTTATATTTGGCTTTAGCAAAGTAAAAAATTTAAAAAAAAAAAGGCCTCCCTCCTTCATCACTTTTCCTGCCCAGATAGGGTGATAAACTAATAATATTTTTTATAGGGCCTTAAATACAGTTAGAGTTACATTACAACATTAACTAAGCTTGCTGATACCAGGGAGTTGTTATTCAAACTCCCTGCTGATACAACACACTTCTGGGCGGAGACCTAACAAACACAATACCGTTTATCACAAACAAAGAGACCAGGAAACAATTACAGTATATTAATTAACAACCGAAACAACAGCACACAGCCCTATTATTTAAATAGAATAGTCCAACCTACAGATGGTGGCCGAAATCTGCACTTGATCCACTCGCCCTAAAAACCAAACAAATGAACAGAGACCTGATACAGGGTTTCAATTTGAAGTTTTATAGTACTTCCATGAAACTGAGGTTGCTCACAGTACAGAACTGTAAATTTATCCAAAGACGTTACAATTAAACACGTATACCATCAGTGCTTCATTATTGCCGATACTCTCACTATTATGTAATTATAATCAGGTTTTCAATACACTATAGGAAATAGAAGCCGAAGGAGCCATTATTTCCTGCAAAAAAGTGCCTGAAGCATGCAGAAAATAATGTCTCCTAAGGCATCTATTTCCTATAGTGTACGAAAATTCTTGACTATAACTGCTATATAAGTCATTTGTGAAGTCCATCACCTTTTCTTGTAGAAGTGGTTTGGCGCAGTGGGAATGGTTTGGTTTCCCAACCTCGAGTTTGGGCTTTCAATCCCCTCACTGTGCATTTCACTTTTGTCCTTGGGAAAGGCAATTTATCCCACATTGCTTCTGTCCACCCAGGAGTGTAAGTGGCTACCTGGTAGGGTTAAATGCCAAAATGCGCTGAGGTAGCTACTGCAACTTTATGGAACAGTTTGTGTTCCAAAGGCGTCTAACCCAATGACCGGGGGTAGTAATGTGAGGCGCTTAGAGGCCTTGTTGGCATTAAGCGCTATATAAATATAACATATTATTATTATTGTTTATAATCAAACTGATGGTTGTAGAGCAGTTTCTATAAGCCTGGCGCGGTGACCAGTTGCTCCGTGATCAATCCATTAACAGTGAGTGTGCATTACAGTAGCTGTGCAGATTAGAATGATCTATTGGTAGTCACACTGACACTATTCGCGTAGCTTTTTATGATACAAATAAAATAAAATTATTTCGGTTAATGAAGTTTATTAGAGGTTATTAGGTAGGCCTAAACTCCTGGTAGACATTTTAACTAATGCCTACCAGGAGGTTAAAATGTATTGTAAACATTATTTGAATTATTTCGGAGCTGCCTTATTTTTTCAGTTCTTTTTAACGTCAATCACCTTGTTATCTCAAAACAAATCACATTGTTATCTCATAACCAATATGCCTTTCTAGGATGACCTTCATTTGTGTTTACAAGTGCCATTGAGCGAGATTTGTTAGGTTCGCTCTGTCCATTCATAGCTTGGCCTAGCATCAAAATATTCATCGCGATGTAAAATCACCACATCTTTGAACATTTTGCACACAAGCCGCAAAAAAAAAAAAAAAGTGATCATTCGTGGATAGGAAAATTCAGTGCAAATGAAAGTGATGACGTCACCACTGACTTATAAAATGTTCTCTTTATTATGCCAGATCTTCATACTGATTACCTTGTTTCTGGTTTATGCTACAACCCCGACTTCATATTCAGTTGGCATTAGGCTGAAGAATTTGGATAATAAATTATATCTTGAGAAAACATCAACTGCCTACTGTAGCAATATTTTTTCATTGACTACGTTTTACCATATATTCACCAGGATATACGTGCACCCATCACTTTTATGAATCACAATTATTTTATTATTATTATATACATTTCTAACTGTTTATGAATAAACTTTTACATGTACATAAAACACTTTTTCGTTTCATTTTGCTAAATCTTCTTTCCTCACATACTTTTTGATTGAAATATATAAAACATTAGCTAAAATAAGTTAATAAAGAAAGTTAATTACCTAAATGTTGTGTTTACATTCTTCTCCATATTATGAAATTCAAATTGTTTAAAAACAATCTGATGAAGAATATAAAAAATTGATATGAAACACAATTTAATTGTTTATTATTGCATATTAAACAAATTTATCCATTAAACTTGACCTTATAACGGTCGACTTTTCTGACAGACGTATTTCAAAGTTTTTGTTGAGATGTAATACTCTTCCAGTTTACAGGAAATATTTCACCATAAATAATCCAATAAGTTCCTCTTTTGAATTAGCATATCCGCCAAATAAACGCCACACAAAAGCAATTTGTTTTACCAAGCATCACTCTTGAATAAGTGTGGCAAGCATTTGCTAGAGATGTATTCTATTTCGAATATATATGTTGCAGTGCTTAATTGGAGTACATACCAAACATTCTCTGATGTTTTGTGTCATTTGAGATGCTGTTAAATAACAGACCTCATGCAGTAAATACTACCAAAGTTACAACAATACAAGTCAGATATGTCTATGTACAATACATGGTACCATTTTAGCACTACAGAAATTTGTAATAAACAGCGCTTTACAAAAAGTGCCGCACTAAAGCCTTTAAACATTTCAAGTGCCATAGGGCTTATTGGAACATTTACGATATTATTTTAAAACATTTACCCGAATTTTATTTTTACTGTTAAGCGCATTGAGGCTTTAGCATAATGCGCTATATAAGCCAAAATTATTATTATTATTATTATCTTAATATAATCAAAGATACTAAAAACAGGAGACAGATCTTGCACAGCCAAAGTGGAGTGGATAAACATCATACCTTTTACGCATATCCAGATGTACCCGGCGCCCTTCCATTTACAATAATGACAATTTACATTTGTTGATGTCCCATCTTACACTGTGCCCCATGAAATGATAAACAAACTTACATAGTACAGTATAGCCATCAGGCAATTCTGTGATAAAGTTTTCATCTGTGGAGAGTTTGAACTTGCATTTCTAGTATCTTTCATATAATTAATTATGTTAAATTATTTTCTTGAAAAATATTTAACAACTGCTACCTTATGTAAGCCCAGGTCCACAGTAATCTAGATATAAATAGTTAAATCAATGTTTGGCCTAATCCTAATTACAGAACTTCACCTAAGGTCTTTAATCACAGTTGAAAGGTCACCTCTTATTTTTACATGGTTCAGTTCTTCATATAATGAAGGATGTTTAGGATGCGGATGAAAACCTTTTTCTTTACATGATGCAATATAGTTTAGTCCGTAATCTGGGGTTAGGGAGAACACTCCAGTCCTGGAAAAAAGTAAAATAAAAAAAATATTTATTTTATTTTATTTTTCTTAAATACCTGTCTGAATAGACATTTATGTATACTATGTGTAGTAGTTATCGGTATGTTACTAAACTATCACAGTAACCAATCATAAAGTCAGGCTCAGGAAGAAAACAATTTTTGATATGTTGTATAACTGATTTTTCTTACCTTGGTATACCTTCGAGCTAAAACTTCAAAATTGTGTTATTTTGTAATCTTTTAACAAACTTTGACTAGCACTACAACTAAATCATGTGTATTTGTCCATAAATGATACCTCCGCAGGCTGATTTTGGCTTTAAATATTTACCCTACTAAAAACATGCTTTTTTTAACTTGTTCATTTTAAGAATACGGGCAAAAAACTTAGGTACGATTAATGAGAAACAGATTTTAGATATTTAAAAACTGGGGGAAACAGGACATACCACCTTTTTTTTTACACATTTGTTTTTAATATCCAAACATCTTTATCCCATTAACCGTTCCGGAGTTTTTCATCAAATGCCTTTTTTGTGTGTAAAAAAAAAACAGTGGTACAACATATCAAAATTGTTTTTCCTCCAGAGCCTGACTTTAAAAATATGTATTATATAAAGAATATAAAGATGATCAGTTTTACAAACTCATTTGTTATTTTTATAATCAAGTCGTACAATATATTTAGATGTATCAGGTTCATAAATAATAAGTTGTGGTTATTGAAGATGTTGCCAAGGTATTCAAGGTATATTTCTGCAGGCCAACTAATTCTTATATCATCTATGTCAACAAAATTCTATCAGGCTACCAATTAAATTGAGAAACAGCAAAGACATAATTTTTTTTTTTTTTTATGTTTGAATTACTGACTCTTTGAGCTATAGTGACTTTTGTCGGTTTAGTTTTTACTCAGATTTTGTCTTAATTGTTTGTAGTGATTTTTTTGTAATGTTTTTGGTTAAATAAATAAATGAATGAAAAGCAGTGAAGATACTGTGGTAAATAAAATGAATGACACAGTCTGTAACACTCTGTAATGGTCTCATTGATGCTTACAAAACTGAACAGAAAGGTTAAAATTGAACTTACTCATTGTGTGCTGGTGCGCAGACAATTGCAATAGCTTCTGACAACATTATCTGATAGGGACAGTGGGTATGTAGATCAATACTAGACATGAAGGCGGTCTGAGTTGGGTGCGTCTGTACAAAAATAAAACAAGAGTTACAAAATTTTTTTGTTCAGAACAGGATTCCACTATCAGCAGCAATGAAGGTTTATATGCAAATTATGTCCTGTATATAAATCAGAGAGTCATTACTTCCATCACACTACTGGGTTTAACCCAAACTTGTGTGCCATTTGCAACTTGTCTACTAAAATCTTAGACAAAATCATGAAAAAATCAAGCATCAGAATCAAACACGCATAGCATTTTATAAATTATTTTTTGACTTACATGGATCCAGCCAAGGGTCACAAGGTCATTATTATCCATACAATCAAATATTTCTTCCTCGTTGAGGGCGGTGCAAGAATCTGATGTTGAAGTCTGCTTAGGTATCACAATGTGTGTTATGCTGAATGCATTGCGAGCCTACATGAAATATACAAATTATAAGCATTTTTTTGTAGTGATATAATTCATTTCACATCATGACAAGAAAAACTGAATATAGAATTGACATAGTAAAAAATATGTTACTATTTGACCAACATGACAACAATAAGCCTGAATTCTTGGTGTATTTACAAATACATCTTCAGTAAAATCTAATCATAGGCAAACTGCAGCATTTTCGTGACTACCGCACTTACGCGAAGTAGCCAATATGCCATCGAAATGATTTTCTGATGAAGTGATCGTAACTTTTGTAAGTCTTTGATCATGAGCTGACAACCAATCAACGTTCATGAGTAATTTAGCTAAAACGTCCGATCAAATATATGCGAGTAATACACAAGTGATAGCCGATTTTACTTGCACCTAAAGGCTGAAACACAGTGTGGAGCACTTGTACCTAAAGGCTGAAACATAGTGTGGACCACTTCAACCAAAGGCTGAAACATAGAGTGGACCACTTGTACCTAAAGGATGACACATAGTGTGGACCATTTGTACCTAAAGGCTGAAACATAGTGTGGACCATTTGTACCTAAAGGCTGAAACATAGTGTGGACCAAAGTGTCTTCCACTTCCCTTCTTTAATTAATTATAGTTGAATACAAATTTTTTAAAAAGTGACAGGACATGTAGAGTATATTCCGGTTGGTTACAACTTACCAGCTTCCCCGCTAATATGCCGCATGTCTCCAGGTTCTGACCTGTGTTCGGTTTTGCTATCGCCAGAAACTTTGGGACAGCATCAAGAGGAACAAAAACATCGCGCAGACCATAGTGATTGATTGGTGCAGGCGTTGGCTGCATTAAATGGTTTGGTTTGCTACTTCTGTCTATTTTTTTTGAACGATCAACTTGAGGCGCCGCAGAAGGAGATGGAACACTAAAATGATATATTAAATATATTATATTTAAAAAAAATATAATTTCTGGTGTATTGGAAATGTGATAGAAGAAAAATCAAATAAAAAATAATAGCTTTTCCAAAGAATCGGTAACTAAACCTAGCAATATAAATAGAGTATAAATGGGTACCAGTTGGGGTTGTCTATTCCTACAATGCAGAAGCACTCTAGCATATGGACCTAATGACTTGGGATAAAAGTGCTTTGTTATCTGTAGAGAAAGGCACTAATTAAACGAAATGAATAAATAAATGTTTATAACACAAATTTTACAATACAATACAATACAAATATCTTTATTGCAATCATATAAAATATAGATTGAATTTACAATCAAAAATTTACAAAGTCATTAAAAAAAAAACAAGAGAATCGCAAAAAACATTTACAAATTAACTCACTAACCTGTCATTTGGCACTGGTGGTGCACTTGGTTGTACCATACCAGGAATTGGTATCGCACCAGGCATAGGGGATGAGGACGGTACCCCTCCTGCAGAATTGAAATTCACAGTATTCTGGCCAGCGAGAGGAGAGTTCATTGCAGAAGGTAGCCCAGGGGAAGGTATTACAACCGGGGGCTTTCTCTTCTCCATTTCAGCCATTCTTTCCTTTTCTATTTGTGCAGCTCTCTGCTGTTGAAGTATTTTTTGTTGTTCCTCGGCTTGCTTGAGAGCCATTTTCTGCTCCTCTAATAGCCTATGCTGTTCCTCTGTTATTTGCTTAGCTTTTTCATCTTCTATCCTCTTTCTTTCTTGTTCTAATGCTGCCTCCTCTTCTTCTCGGATTCTTTTCTCTTCCTCTAATTTTCTTCTATGTTCCTCTCTTCTTCTCTCTTCTTCCTCTTGTTCTTTTTGCTGAAACGAATTTGAAGATAATTAATTTGCAATCATAATTGTCATCAATGCAATTAGGCTAATTGTAACATTACACCCATCACCATATCATTTTCATTATATCATCATCACACCATAAAACTTTGTATAGAAATAATCTCAAGAAGAAGCCCATCTCAAATTAAAGCTCCTCTCTTTATGCTTTTGTCTGTAATTGTGTTAATGAATCTTCATCACTGCAGTCATAGTCATCATTAACAACAGCATTCTTTTTATCATGTAAACTATTAAGTTAAGCTTACCTTCTCTTTCTGGTATATTTCAAATTCTTTTTGGTATTTGTCCAGTAAGTTTCCTTTAGTTTCCTCTGCTCTTGGAAAGGCTAATTTAATCATCTAAATGAAAGGATGTTTATAAATCACTGCACTTAAAACTATAAATTCATTTCCAAATAAACTGTTAAAACATAGTCAAACTAATTATGTTCAACAAAAAGAACTAAGGGGAAACTTAAACTAATCATATTCAACATAAGAAAACAAAGGAAAACTTTTTTTTTCCTTGTTGGTTTAGTATGTGGTTAAATTAAAGTATCTAAAAACGTTTATATTTTATGTATTACACCAAAAGCCATACCCACAAAATCCCAGTGCAACATAGTATCGGTATTTCTTTTGATCACATGACAAATATAAACTGACAATCTTGTGTATATTCCACAAAAATCTGTACCACATCAAACAGTGCAAAATAGAATTTCTTTTGATCACATGACAAAATACACTTGCATAATTCTTGTTGTACAGTATTTCTACCAAAAATCTATAGTCACATCAAATACAGAGCAAAATAGAATTTGTTTTGATCACATGACAAAATACACTTGCATAATTCTTGTTGTACAGTATTTCTACCAAAAATCTATAGTCACATCAAATACAGAGCAAAATAGAATTTGTTTTGATCACATGACAAAATACACTTGCATAATTCTTGTTGTACAGTATTTCTACCAAAAATCTATAGTCACATCAAATACAGAGCAAAATAGAATTTGTTTTGATCACATGACAAAATACACTTGCATAATTCTTGTTGTACAGTATTTCTACCAAAAATCTATAGTCACATCAAATACAGAGCAAAATAGAATTTGTTTTGATCACATGACAAAATACACTTGCATAATTCTTGTTGTACAGTATTTCTACCAAAAATCTATAGTCACATCAAATACAGAGCAAAATAGAATTTGTTTTGATCACATGACAAAATACACTTGCATAATTCTTGTTGTACAGTATTTCTACCAAAAATCTATAGTCACATCAAATACAGAGCAAAATAGAATTTGTTTTGATCACATGACAAAATACACTTGCATAATTCTTGTTGTACAGTATTTCTACCAAAAATCTATAGTCACATCAAATACAGAGCAAAATAGAATTTGTTTTGATCACATGACAAAATACACTTGCATAATTCTTGTTGTACAGTATTTCTACCAAAAATCTATAGTCACATCAAATATTATTGTTTGCCACAAATATTACAATATATGAGATAAATGACATTTTTGGTGAGGCAATTAATTGATTGCCTTATCCGAAATATGTGGTTTGTTTGGTTGCTCTTGAATGATTGTGTAGAATCAAGCAAGGAGCATGTTTTACATGATGAACCACAAAGATGACTACCCAAATTATGGCTGTCGCAAGAGTTAATTTGCTTCTTGAATTTAGATCGTACTAATATATCACGAAGGTTAGGTGGTCTGCGATAGGCTATGAACGGTGTATCCGGAAACACAGAACTAAGACGTTCTGTGGTCTGTAGAATGGGCATGTTTCTGAATTATAGCCCTTAGTGATGGTAACCTGCAGGGTAAAATGTAGTGACCAGTGGCACTCTGGTCGATCGCTGACGTGGTTTGTACGTCAGTGTTTGAGCACGAGGTATGTCCTTTGCTTTTTTAACAGCATTTTTGATGGGTCCTCGATAATTTCTATTCCGGAGATGTCCGGATAGCTCTTCTGTGCGATTCTGAAAATCTAAATCCGAAGAACAAATGCGTCTCATGTGCAATGCTTGGCTGTACGGAATGTTTTTTGTACAGTGTGGGAATGACAGCTGCTAGGGAGCAGGTACATATGCTTATCCGTGGGTTTACGGAAGAGATCAGTTTTGAGTGCACCATTTCCCATGGTCACGGTGATGTCCAGAAAATCTACACTGGTTGTGGGTTTGTTAGCAGTGAATTTGATTGTGGGATGAGCCGAATTAATGTTTAATAGGAACGTATCCAAACTATCTTCACCATGGGTCCAGATCATGAAGATATCATCAATGTAACGAAACCAAACATCTGGTTTCTTGGGCTGTAGGGACAGAAAATTGGCCTCAAATTGTCCCATAAATAAGTTAGCAAAAGATGGAGCCATTTTAGTGCCCATCGCTGTGCCATGAATTTGAAGGTAATGACATTGGTACGAGGGGAGAGCAACAACATATGGTCTCAATAAATCATCCACATATTCAGAGATTTTTTCTGTAGCAGTACCGTTGCCCGAAATGATGGGTCTGCCAGGATGGCCTGCTTTGTGGATTTTGGGTAGGACATAGAAACGTCCTGGTGACGGATCGACCTGGATGAGATAGGGTCTAATTTTGGGATCGATGGAACCTTTTTTAACCATCTTAAATTCAGATTTTTCCACTTCCTTAGAAATTTCCAGAGTGGAGTCCTCTGTGAGCTTCTGATAGTGAAGAGGATTGTTTAGTTGTCTTAAGGACTCCTCTTCATAGAATTTAATGTCCATCACGACAGTGGCAGAGCATTTATCAGCTGGTTTGATGATAATTTCATCACGCTGACGCAAATTGGCAATGGCCTGCCTCTCATTTTTTGTGAGATTGTCGCGGAAATCTGGATTAGGAGCATGGTTTTTAACATCCTCCTCAATGGCCTGAATGGAAGTTTCTAAAGCTGGGCAACGATTCTTAGGATTCCAGGTACTTTTTGCCCGTGTTATCCGTGGTGTTGCCGTCGGAATCGGCAAAAAAAAATAAACGGCCTCTTAAACGTTGGAAGAAAGCGTCCAGATCCAAAGATAGTTGTTGTGGGTCAGCCTGCCTCGGTTTTGGGCAAAATTTGAGTCCTCGGGATAAAAGTTTGGTTTCTCCTTCGGAAAGCTGACAGTTAATTTGAACTACTGAATCCGTGGTGTTGCAGGGATTATCATAGCCTGGGTTCCAGGCCCTAATTTTAGGTTACTCACTCTTTATTGCACTTAGTGCGCGCCATACCTAATTTAATTGGCGTCCCATACTCGATTTCTTTTTTTTCGAATTAGGGCCTGGGCAAACGTATACTTTGTGTATAAAACAAAAGCATGTTCCCAATTGCGTCTGTCTCTTATACACATCTTACCTTCATAGTTTTCTTTATTTCTGTTGATTTGACTTGGTTATAACCTGGGTGTTTTGGTAATTTTTCAACAAAGATTCTAAAAAAAATAACAGCATTTGAAAAAATTAAATAAAACAGAACAGTTGCTTTCATCCTAATCTTATGTATCTTTTTTTTTCTCCTTGGATTTTATACAAATTATCAATGTGTATGATTTGAACTCCTCAAAGTAAAAAACAAAGAAAGTAAATTGAGAATTTTAAATAATAACTTAAAATTAAATATTTTGAAAGAGAAAACATTTTCCGGTCAATTAATGGAAAGTTAAAAAATACCTTTCATATATTTTACATAGACCTTAAATTGGCTGGTAATAAATTAAAGGATTTTCGTAGTAAAATGTTTGTAAATCGGTGATAAGTAATTTTTTGATCTGTTTCTGGTTGGAAGTAATGATGTGACAAGGAAGTTACTAAGCGTCTTCCTACAGCGGCTACAGTAATCACAGACCACACCCATACGCAATTCAATATTCAAGCCCATACGCAATTCAGTAACCACGTCAATACGCACATTAGTACAGTCTGCAAGTAATAGGCAACTTTCCTACATTTACATTTCACCTGCACAAAATTTGAGAGAATTTATAAATGTCTATGAATTATGTGGCAAGCATGCAACATGTTAAAAAAAAGCACACATATTAGGTGAGACTTTTTTATGCCTTGTTTCGTGAACTTATTTTTTTTTAAATCGTCAGAGGAGGGTGGAGAAAAAATAGAAATAAAATTTTATTTTCTTATTTAGCAAATAGTTTTGCCAAAAACATCCAGATGGAGGAGTAAATAAAAGTAAAATTTTATAAGAGAATGTAAACAGTGTAGTAATGGGATGGTTAAATATACGTATCTTAATTTTTTCGAGATTTCAAGGCAGCAGCAGGTGTAATGAAAATAAAGAAAAACCTATATTTTTTCCAGGAATTTCCATTTTTTCGTAGTGGCAGGTGCGCTAATTGGCCAAATAAAAAAAAAATTATACTTTTATTTGATATCATCACTATTGGCGGGTTGCGGATTTAAGGTATAAACAGTCTCTCCTTACAGATTAGAGTATTTTAAGTAAAGTTTGTATCTTATATCAGGCCTATATGTAATCATTTTGATGCAATAGACTGTAACTGATGATTGAAGGGACCATTCACTATCAAGATTCCTTCCCTTCACTGGAAAAAAAAAATTATATTGTACAGAAACCTACGTTATATACTTTGTGTATAAAACAAAAGCATGTTCCCAATTGCATAAAGAACAGAAACAAAACATACCTTCATAGTTTTCTTTATTTCTGTTGATTTGACTTGGTTATAACCTGGGTGTTTTGGTAATTTTTCAACAAAGATTCTAAAAAAAAAATAACAACAGCATTTGAAAAAATTAAATAAAACAGAACAGTTGCTTTCATCCTAATCTTATGTATCTTTTTTTTTCTCCTTGGATTTTATACAAATTATCAATGTGTATGATTTAAACTCCTCAAAGTAAAAAACAAAGAAAGTATATTGAGAATTTTAAATAATAACTTAAAATTAAATATTTTGAAAGAGAAAACATTTTTCCGGTCAATTAATGGAAAGTTAAAAAATACCTTTCATATATTTTACATAGACCTTAAATTGGCTGGTAATAAATTAAAGGATTTTCGTAGTAAAATGTTTGTAAATCGGTGATAAGTAATTTTTTGATCTGTTTCTGGTTGGAAGTCTCTAAATGATGTGAGAAGGAAGTTACTAAGCGTCTTCCTACAGCAGCTACAGTAATCACAGACCACACCCATACGCAATTCAATATCCAAGCCCATACGCAATTCAGTAACCACGTCAATACGCACATTAGTACAGTCTGCAAGTAATAGGCAACTTTCCTACATTTACATTTCACCTGCACAAAATTTGAGAGAATTTATAAATGTCTATGAATTATGTGGCAAGCATGCAACATGTTAAAAAAAAGCACACATATTAGGTGAGACTTTTTTATGCCTTGTTTCGTGAACTTATTTTTTTTTAAATCGTCAGAGGAGGGTGGAGAAAAAATAGAAATAAAATTTTATTTTCTTATTTAGCAAATAGTTTTGCCAAAAACATCCAGATGGAGGAGTAAATAAAAGTAAAATTTTATAAGAGAATGTAAACTGTGTAGTAATGGGATGGTTAAATATACGTATCTTAATATTTTTGAGATTTCAAGGCAGCAGCAGGCGTAATGAAAATAAAGAAAAACTTATATTTTTTCCAGGAATTTCCATTTTTTCGTAGTGGCAGGTGCGCTAATTGGCCAAAAAAAAAAAAAATTATACTTTTATTTGATATCATCACTATTTGGCAGGTTGCAGATTTAAGGTATAAACAGTCTCTCCTTACAGATTAGAGTATTTTAAGTAAAGTTTGTATCTTATATCAGGCCTATATGTAATCATTTTGATGCAATAGACTGTAACTGATGATTGAAGGGACCATTCACTATCAAGATTCCTTCCCTTCACTGGAAAAAAAAAATTATATTGTACAGAAACCTACGTTATATACTTTGTGTATAAAACAAAAGCATGTTCCCAATTGCGTTCTTCATAATAAACGTCTGCCTGAAAATTTAAAAAAAGGTTGAAAATATATATATATGCCTGATATGTTTATAACATCAATTGTTCCTGAGCACTGTTTCTATAATTACCTATTTTTTTAAAGTAAATATTTTGTTCTTTTTCTAATTTATAGTGCAAATTTATAATAAATTTTTATTCAATAGTTACCATTCTCATCATTTCCTGTCCGGAGCGAAGATATCTTCTCACAGGAACGGTACCATCAACTTCAACTGACGCTCCATAGTCAGCCAGAATGCGAACACGTTTTGCGGGTTCACACTCGGTGGTCATCTTGAAAGGAATCCACCATATTTTAATTTTAGATAGAGAATGTGTTTTAATATAAAATAATAAACTATCAAATATATTTTTCAAAAAGCTTCAATTTTGTTAAATCAACATGAATTTGGCAAGAAAATATTTCTAAGCTCACTTTAAGTTCTGCACCTAGGCCTACTACACTCTTATTTATGCTTCAAACAAGCATGGAGTTATAATTATTTTGAGTAGTAGTGCAACAAGCTGAAAAACAAAGCGCAAACACACAAAAAAGTAAAATAATTACTTGCTATACTGAATTATTTACAGACAAAAAATAAGCAGTTTGCATGTTCAAAAATAAATATTAACAAACCACCAACATATCTGTTCAGATAGGAGAATCTGTGGTTCTTAGTTTTCTGACTTTTTTAGAAGCACGTGTTTTACGTTCTGTAGACTTAAATAAAAGACAAATAAATGCCAACCAATCAACCTATGATTTGTATTATTGGATTCATTTAATGTTTTGCCCTTATTTTCTGAAATGCATGCACATAATTCTAGGCCATATTTTTGCACAGGGGACATATTCCCTGCGCAAGCCTTACTTTAAAGTCTTGTATCCTGCTGATTCTTTGAAGTACATCTCTGGGCACATGCCTGCTTACATGACGGCCGACGATATTTCAATGATTTCTTAATACCTTTTTAAAAATTATTTTTCAATCAACCGACAACACAAATATATTGATCAAGCCACGTAACAAAAAAATCTTCATCAATAGTCATTCAAATCACCATACTACATAAACCTCACTCTCACAATACTAGGTTAAACGCTATGACACACAATGGGACCCAGTTGGCCCGGGCCCCAACTAAATTTTTCAGAATTGTAAAAAATTGGAGAAAAATTACATTCAAATTTAAGAGTGCCATTTCTGGTCATCTAGCCTAAAGGTGACATTATCGTAAATTTTACCCCAGCCCCAACCATAGTGGTGCGGTGGTATAGACCCTCCATCTGTCAAGGTCCCTCCATGGGCCCCCTCTATTTCAAAATCCTAGATCTGCCACTGTATGAAGTAGGATATCAGGATTGCAGAATGGCTGACAGTGACAGTATTAGTAGTAGGCCTAACTGTAACTAACCTCTCCGACCAAGCTCTAAGCCTACTCGGAAGGATCTCTCATTTGAGACTTGACATCGAGGAATAAAAACAATAGTTAGGCCTCTGGCCCTACCTAGCTAGGGCCAGGCCTAGACTCTCTAGGCAAGTAGTACCTGGCTCTAGGTGGCTTGGGCTAGTCTAAGGTTTCTGTACAAAACAGCAAAAAACCAAAACGGCAATGACCAAAACGGCAACAGACCAAAACGGCAATAGGCATAGACCAAAACTGCAAAGGAGCAAAAATTAATGCCAAGACTGAAGTGCCACCAGCAGTTTATAATTTTCTGAATTGTTTTTTTTAATTTTTTTTACACATCCATGACGAATTATTTCGTTATTTTAAAGTGTTATTTATTATTATTATTTTTCCCGTTTTTTACTTTTCATGACGTAAATTGTTTAGCCTCATATTATCTGTATTTTATGGTTTTAATTATTTAAATGTTCACTAGTTTTATATTGTATATATATTATATTGCATTCCCCAATGTTTCTTACTATTGAATTTGTATGTAGTATTGTTATTATTGTTGTCATTATTATTATTAATGTTGTTATTCTTTAAAGTGTTTTTTTTTCTTTCGCACTTTTTTACTTTTATGACATAATTGTTTAGCCTCATTTTGTCTGTATTTTAAAGTTTTAATTATTTAAATGTTTACTGCTTTTATATTGTGATTCCCCAATCTTTTTACTATTGAATTTGTATGTTATACTATTATAATTATTAATATTATTATTATTAATGTTGTTCTTCTTTCATGTTTTTTACTTCTATTCTATGACCTTTTGACTTAGGGCCTATTCTAGGTATGTGACAAAAAAATTTCAAATTCAAGCAATTCCTTTGCAGCTGGTATCATTTGAAAGAGTATTATTATAGAATTTAATTGATACCAAGATCATTGTCATCCGTCAAATATCAGCAAAGTTACAGAATTTAAGAGATTATTAATTATGACTAATTTTGGTCCTTCAAATCCTATGTAAACAATAGAGAAATATATGACCTTGTTCTTGAAAAACGTTCAAAAAATGCTCTAACTTTTTTGTTTCTATACATTTCTCAATAAAATAAAAAGCATTTGGAAGCACACAAAATGGACAAAAGAAGCATTATAAAACTCATTATAATTTAATCATTTATTAATTAAATAACAATTAAATTAACTAATTAATTACAAATAATTAATTATAATATGCCATAAATGTCTTTAAATGTTTTTACACATGTCTCAATGAATAAGATATTTGAAAGCACACAAGGAGAACAAAAGCAGTGGCATATGTATAGTGGGGGTGTTCTGACCCTCACCCCGACTCTCACCCCCACCCCTGACCACACTCAACCCCACCCAACCCCCTTTCCTACCCTCCATTAAATTTTTTTTTTCTCTTTCTTATGGTCGTCCCACTTTTATTTCATCAAAATATGATTATACATATATTACATATTAAGTATTGATATAATTAAAATTAAATTGGTTTCAGAACAATATAAACTTGGATAAAACAAAACATAACATAAAATCGATCGAGACTGTGTGTATATAAACATGTTGTCATGAGCGATCAGGCAAGACCAGACATGCATGACCGCTCACGCTGCACTGCATGAACAGATTTTGGGAATTTCCATTCACAACACACTTTTTATTTTCGGTCAAAAACAAGGTTCCGGTGTTCAGATTATCTAAATATTAAACCCAGTTGTAGATAAATACATGAACTAACACAATAAACTGGTTTCAAAACAAAATAAACTTATCTTCTTTAAAAAAATTGAATGTTTTTGACAACTTAAACTTTCAGCAATAAATTCACTCAATTCCCGAAAGTCGGAAAAAATTGATTTGATGACTAGCTGAAAGGGGAACATGTGAACTACGTCATCACTATTTTCGGGGCACAGGGAAAAAATAAATATGACCTCTGCAGCCAAAACAATAGAGGGCTGTTGCAACAGTCAGTCGCTGGCAAAAATGATAGCGGTGCCACGATATCGTGCTCGCAACGGACGATAGTCACCGTCACGTACCTACAGTACCTATGCATTTCCATTTTGGTCCATTGCCGTTCTGCTGGTCTAAAAGTGTTGCCGTTTTGGTTTTTTGCCGTTCTGGTTTTTTGCCGTTCTGGTCATTGCCGTTTTGACTTATTGCCATTTCGGTTTTTTGCCGTTTTGACCTATCCCCTGTTCCCTGGTCTCCTAGGCCTAGTCTAGCTCGGCTAGGCCTTAGTTAGTCCCTAGGCTACGGCTACCCAGTGGCAGTAACTGGCAGTAGACTAGGTAACGGTTAGGGCCTAGGCTACGGCTAGCCTAGGGTAGGCCCCTAGGCCTATACCTAGGCCACACTTCTAATCATTATATTAATCAAACTAGGTTAGCCCTAACAATTCCATGTAGCACACCTTCTTTTATAGACGTCTTTATATGCTCCAAATATTAATAAAAATCAGAATTCGGTCCTAGGACTAGATGCAGAGGGGCTAAGCCTAAACTGCTTGATATGTTACATGACCTTACATGGCTGTGTTTACCATGACGTCATTCGTGTGACAATGAGGTCATCCAACCAGCCAACCATCTAGGCCCTACCCAAACATAACTTATTTAAACATTATACTTTAGTATATTTTACTTTAAATTAATTATACTTTATAAAAATTCATATATTTCAACTTGAGCTTTACTTTTTGTAATTAATTTTTTCAGGGTAAAAATATAGATATTTTTGGATCATTTCCCTCCATTTCAACAATCACATGGTCGAAACGGATTGTTTTTATTGGCTCGTTGTCAATTATAGGAAGCTAGTTTTCCGTAGCTATAAACACCGAAAAGTTTAGAGTTGTGATTCTGTTTGTTTACATGGTTGATGATTCCAAGTGTATATTTGAGAATTGAGTTGTTGATACCATAATAAGGTACGTTAGGCTCTTTATTTCCTAAAAAAGTATGACTATTAGTTATAGAGATATAGCTATAGACTATCTACTACTACAGTAGGACTACTTACTACTAGTGCCAGGCTAGGTCTAGGCCTAGAAGTACTGGTAGGCTAGGCCAGTGGTGCTAGAGGGCTAGCTAGGCTGAGGTAGGGCTAGCCTAGGCCTAGAGGCTAGGTCTAGGACGGTCTCCCTGGGCCCACCACAGACTTGTCCGGCTCGAGAAACTTTGGCCTTCTGGCGTAGTTATTAGAGCTAGGCCTAGACTAGGGGCGGGTTGGCGTTTTCTCTATCTAGACCAGGCTAGGCTATCCTCTATCTATCAAGAAGTAAGCCATAGCCTAGGCCTCATTATGAAGTATGGTCGGAGCGACCGCGAGGGAAAGCGGCCGCGCTCAAAATGTATGGAATGCCAGTAGCGCTATACCAATTGATTGGGATACGGTACGATATAGCGTTGGTCAGTAGCGTTCATACTCGTCAATTCTAGTATGTTTCACTCAGTTTTATTTGATCAGGCAAGTGTTTCGAAATAAAGAGAAATCAATGTATAATTTTCAGACTTGTACTAAAAAATTAAAGAGATAGGCCTATAAAAAATTGAATATTTTTTATTTCCCATCATAGTCTTCTTGGCCCTGGTTGATTAAAGATCGATTTGTTTACAGATTGATTACAGATCGAAACATTTTTGTACGTACATGACATAACTAAATTATGATATGATTAAATTGATGTTTATTATATCAGTTCAGATTTTTATGTATAATACAACGTATCGATTCGCGGCCGCTTTCCCTCGCTAATCCCTCATTATTAATGGTCCTTCCCATAGGCAGCAGGACAAGTGTAGGTCATGATTACATACAATTACAACAATTTTTGGCCTCAACTCAATTGAATTCTGTTTTGTGTGGTGTAGGACCAGTTCGGCCGTGAACAAGTTTGATATACAGTATTTGTATGGAACGCCAAGTACAGTAGGCGCAAAGCTGTGTATGCTGTTAGCAACTTTGTATATTTTGCAGGATAAAATAAATGTAAAACACTTCTTAACTAAAAATTATGCTATTAAAACTAGTCCATAAAACAATCAATCTTAATAATACTAAATTACATATTTAAACAGTATTGTATTCTAGTAGAAGTAAAAACAAACTAAACATTTTTATTTATACTCTTTATTTCAACAATTTGATTTTATTACGAATGATTTCCCTGTACAGTATACCCCTAACCTGCGGCCAACGTTGCACTGTGATATCTAATTCACACCTTGATTACACTACTCGACGTTCCATACAATAACCCTTATTTGGGCATTGAATATCTGGGGGCCGAACCGGACGTCATTCTTTTATTTGTGGCTGTCATGTTGCCATTTAATTTGGAGAAAAGATTATGACAAAAACTATGTCTATAATCCTCAAAATTAATTGTCTAATTTGGTTTAGAAAGAGCAAAATGTGTTGATTTATAAAAAAAAAACTAAAAACAAAAAACATTGATTTTTTTTTATAGAAAAGTGGTGGCCATACTGTAAATTATTTTAATTACTATGCCGATAATACCTCAAAAACTACCACGTACTTATGCGGAAAATCTCTAGGAAAATAGGTACGCAGAATCGTACTGTAACTATTGCCTGTAATGGTTATATATGTGGCGATGTCAAGCCAAAACGGTCGGAAGTCGCTAAGACGATTTTAAGATATAAAGGCAAAACATTTTGGTGTTTCATTAAAAACATGTATATTAAGTATCTAAGAATAGGATTCAAATAATATTTTTCACATTTAAGTACCAAAAATACTGTAAAACGTGATTTTAGTTAGACACTCGAACCCGGAAGTATGAAAAACGAAGGAAAATCATCGTTTAAAATACTCACGAAATTACTGTTTTTTTCGATCATGTTCCGGGGTCAAACTCGTGTCAAGTTTGATATCGTTGGAAAGCTTAGAATGTCAGCTACAATTTTGATTGGTCAGTTCATCCTCACAAATTGTTTAACCAATCAAAATAGTCGTTTTGGTACTGTAAACAATTCGGAAGCAGCCTAGTAACAAACGGAAACACGCATGCTGATTGGTCTGATCCAGTCAGCTGACCATTTTTGGGGCGTGTCTAAGACTGCGTCGCTTGGGTTTTCGATGGAAGCGTCGGCAAGGTAGTGCGCGTTACATGTTTTCCTCGAAGTTCGAAGTTACTTGTTTACTGCTGTAATAATTATAAAACAATAATACTGTTTCTTTTACACAAGAAAGTTTGGTAGTACAGGTACATGCAAAATGGGCTATATTGTATAAAACAGAATTGATAAAGTTGACGACTAATAAAACACCTTCTGTAATAGTTTAACGCACTGGTTTCAAGGTCGCAGTGTTCGATTTCCGGTTGTTTACAGTAAAAACGACCATCACAATTGAATCCGTAATATCACATTTATTAATAAATGTAAGTACATGAAACTTTGTACAGTTATAAAATACATTATGTAAAATGTTTCTGCAAAATTTCATTTCAATCGGTCAATGGTAACACCTCCGTTGTTAAGAAAGTATCGAACACACCGAACACATGTGAGTGAGCTACACGCTGAGCGCACTGCCAGCAACTGGGCGTTATAAACATCAGTTTTATCGCCGTTTCTTTAAAACAGTAACTGCTAACCTCGCGCTATATAAATCGGTATAACTTTAGAACTACAGTAAGTATTAGAATTTAATAATTTTTTCACTGTTTTATTTATTAGAATGAGATTATTCAGTTGAAATGGCGTTAAATAAAAATTGGTTTTTCCGACTTTTGACCGTTTTTGCTTGACATCGCCACATATTATTATGATTAGGTCAAATCCTTATTTTTTCCAAAATCTCTGGAAATTGGCCCTTATTTTTCCAAATGCACAGGCCTAGGGAACTAGTTGTTACGTTGAGGATAATTGCCTGCCCGGGCATGCTTTTATTACAGTCAAGTGATGGTACAGTATGCACTTGCGTTCAGTGGTACTGTTGTGTGGGATTCATACTGTAAAGTATTTAAATTGTGCAAGGGATACATAAAAAAACCGTCTCAAATTTACACGTAAAATTGGTAGAAAAATAGGTGCGCAGATTCATAAATACTGCATACATTGATTATATATTGAGGAATAAGCCGAGGCCTAATTTTTTACAAAATTTGCAAGGAAATCGGCTCTTATTGTCTGAAATATGCGGACAGAGTGACACCTGTCTACACCCACTACATTTTAACAGAACACTATTTTGCATCGTGATACATTTTATAAACTAAAAATTGCCTGGAAAATTGTACACATAGCCCCCTAGGTAGGCCAAAATTTGGGTAAAATCAGCACATATTTTCAAAATTCAGACTTTATGAACCTAAATTTTGTGTTCCCTGCTGGCAAATAAGATAAATTGTGTAAGATTTGTCAAATCTACATATTACAAATCTTTCCAAAAATGTAATCAATGTTATTAAAAAATATTACTGTAGATACTACCATAAATCCTCAAATAAGCGGATCGGCGCTTATACATTTTCTTGAGGCTTCATTGTGGCTCTTCTTCGAGAGCAGCGCTTATTAAGCAAATATTGACATGGTGCTTCCAATGTTTGTTTCCATGTTACCTATCTCAGGTATTCCCGTAGTTCAGTAGGCCTATCATAGGCTCTACTGTACATCATCGTGAATAAACTTTATAATCAAGAAAAGCTTGTATCTTCACTGTGTTTATTCATTTTAAACACTGTAATGTATACATTATATTTAAAACCCTGTTTCTCAAACTGTTTCATTACACACAGCTAATAATATTACGGTATAAGAACGTTGTAATAACGTTACAATTTGGTGTTAAAATCGTTATTTTGAAGAAGTACTTACAACCTGATTTCACAGCATCATAAACATGTGAATCATAACATTGTTGTGTAAATGTTATTTTGTGACATACCAAACCAGAACATTCACGAATGTTTTGTGTTTGCTGTGGGCCGGGTAATATGTACTCTCGGTTATGTGCCGAGATAGAATAAACCTGAATATAGTAAAGTGCCACGCAAGACTCCGTATTATGAAAACAAAAAATGTCACTCATTACTATCGTGATTCATGTGTAGTGCCCTTAGATGCCACTAACATAAATGTGGCAAAGACAAGAGAAACCAGTCACTCTTCGCCCTGTGTCACTTCCATCCATTCCTCTAGTTTCACTTGTTATTATTGCAGTACCACCACATAGCAAATCGGCTTCGTTTGAAGTCTGTTATTTTGGATGTTTGTTTAATCATGGTTTAATTGGGCGTAATTATTACCATAGCAACCGTGACATTGTTTTTATGTTAAGTACATGTGCCAGCTCAACATACGTGTTGCACCTTACCGTAATTGCTATTGAATGCACTTAATTATTCTCTGTGTACTCTGTTTAATTGTATCCTCAATCTAATCCACCTTTTGCAAATTAAAACACTGTAAAGATGGCAGCTCGGTGACTGTTTTTGCTGAGTGTGTCTGTTGTAAACGACACCATAATTGCTGTTTCTGTATTTTTTTTAATGTAAAATTTCTTTTACCAAATCACTAATAAATGTTCCAATATTACTTCCGAGGCATTAGGACATTGGGCATGAAAGATATCGATGGTAAAGCTTGGGCAAAATATTAGGAGAAATGTTCATGATGCATTAGTGGGTACGGTTAGTAAGCAGCCTGCTGTAGCTGCTGCTGTGCACGCAAACCTGGGCCTAGAAATTATTCTCAAGGCTTGTTGCAGTCATACTTTTAGCCAAAAGAAACGTTGCATTCATATACAGTATTTCTGAATGTTGCACGAGAAAATGATACATTTCAAAAGTCCATCAAACTGTGCAGCCAGAGTGTATGCCTAGCCTGCCTTAAGGGATTGTCCTAAGACATTCATTTGTCTTGGTGATCAAAATATACGATTCCATTTAACCATTTATGCTAGTTATAACCATAATATTATAAATAGTTTATAGTCATAAGAATACAGTCTATATTGGGAAGTATTTCCGTGGTTCATTATTGTAGGATTGTGGATTGTGTAGACCCCTAGCCTACTGTAGCATTGAACAAGTTACAATTTCAAGCTTAATCAAATCACACCTTAAAAATCAACTTAAAAAAAATAATGTACATTTAAAGTCAGTTGTACACACTAACTTTTGAATTAATTTTTTATAAATTATATTTTCAATGTATTACTTAGCAAATGAAGTCTGACCATGATTTACAGAAGTTTACAGTACACCCTCGCTATTTGGTATCCAATGTTTTGAATTAATACCGTAACATATGATGTCACATAACCAAATGCGAAAGGTGGATTGCAATGGATCTATACATGTACTGTATAGGTAATAATAATCACTTTTCATTCAATTTTGAGTTGAATATAAAATTTACACAAAGCTTAGGCCTGAAAAGTGAGCAGTGGTAAAATGGAAAATGGTAAAAATTCATTTCAATCATAATCTGAGAGTTAAGCCTGTCTTTTGTGTACATAAGAAAGAATACTGATCCTCAAGACTATATGATGACAGTAAAGAATACCTTATCTAATCTTAGTTTAATTACACAGTGAATATTTTACATTTTTGGTGAATATTAAAGAGGTATGCAATAAAACAAGTAAAAATGATGCAAGAGGTCATGGGGTTTCTGGTGCCATGATTTTGTACAGTCAGTAGACCCCTTTCAATGTTTACATTAGCCTGGCTAAAACGCTGACGGTGCACTACCCTGGTAGGCAAAACATTTTTAACCAGTATCAAAATGCACTGGAAATCACTATACTGGTTAAATATACTTTTGTTGTGCCAAAAATATGAAAGCTACGTTGATGAAATTCACATATATTTCATGGCATAATTAGATATTAGGAATCAACAAAAAAAAAAAAATTTAAGAACTTATATTTTGTATATTTTTATTTAATTTTTAGTCGTTTTCTTCTTATCTCTTCGGATGTTGCCAAATGCGAGTGATGGCCCATCATGTTTGGTTCCTTCCAACTTAGGCTTGTTATCAATTATACTGTAATTAATGTATATTCGTTAAGAAAATGTCAAAAATTAGGGGTAGCCTTATACATGAGGAACCAGGTAATAGATATCTTAAAGTTTGTTTCAACTATAAATTTTATATTATATTTTATATATATTAACAGTTTATTGTAGTTTTATTATTTATTATTTGCAGTTATTTTGTAATGTACAGTATAGAACATGTTGATGTGCTTATTAAAAACATGTAAAAGATTCTAGTCTGTTTTTTCATGTACATTTTGATTATATAGTAAATACTATGATATATTATGAATTAACAAGTAGTTGTTGTACTAAAGCTCTGTTGTTTTTCTTACTTTCTATAGCAGATAAATATCTGTGGGACGACTGTATTCAAATTGGAATTAGCATTTCAGCTGTAGCTGATACAATAAGCTCCTGTTAGCAGTAATCAACAAGTTAACATCAACCACTCATGTTGAGCCAGTATCTCTTATGCTCTAAAAGTTTGAAGCAGCCATAGACATCTTAAACTTATGGCAGTCAAAAATTACTATGTTTTGAATGTGAAAAGAACCCAATCATAGGAACACTTTTAGAAATTTGTCAACCCCAGAGCTTCATGTTAGCCTTCAAAAATACAAGATTAAAATAAAGGTAAGATATTTCAAAAACCAACACAAAATACCTCTTTGTACAGTTCTTTTATATATATATAGACATTTAATATTTGATAGGAATATCTGAATTCAACCAGTTTGTATCCTGTATCCAAATATTTACAATTATAACTGTGCAGGTATACATTAATTAATCATTAATTCATTAACAATCAGTTAACAAAAGTAATCAGGCTGACAGTGTTGGTAAAATGTGTGGAAAGAAATATTTGTAAATATAAAATGTAATATTATAACTTCCTTGTGTCCAGGTATTTGATTGCCATTCTGTTTGGGATTGGAAATTTATTATCATTCCAGATGACTAAACAATGTTTGCACAAGGTAGTGTATAATAAACATTTTACAAGTAGTAAAACTGTAATTAGCCCATAAATCATGGTTGTAAACCACAAGCTTAGTTAGAGAAGGAGAGGGCCACTGGTTGGTCTACAATATTGCATCATGAATAATTGAATTTCAAGTCTTTCTGAGAGAGAAAAAAAAGATTATTAAAAAGGGGCGTAACCACCCTTTTTTACACCTTTTCCCCCAGTTTTTAAGTATTTGAAAGTCTGCGTCTCATACACTTTTAAAGGTGGAATTTGTTGCCTACCGTAGCTATTGGTTTATACATGGTATGCTGTTGGTATTTTTGCTTACAGTTGTTTGATATGAACTATACTGTACACAGTTTCGTACATGTTCATACTAAATTTTAGATATTTTGTTTTGGAGACCGTTTTCATTTGTTTGCAAAATTAGGTTTTAAATATTTTTTTTGTAAGGCACCAATTCAATTCAATATTTCAATATTTTTTATTCAATCTCAAATGGCAGCATTAACGCTGAATTACATGAGAATACATTAAAACTCGGAAATGAATGTATTTAGCACATTACTGGGTTGGCAGCTTTCTTGCAAGCTTGAACTGTGAAATTGAATTAAGCTACTTTAAAGAAGGTGTTGATGTTTACAATGGCCCATGGTTCAATGGATCAAGAATCTTATAAACATGTTTAGTATCACTTCCTAATACGATACAAATCTGGCCATTCGCTACAGTATACTGTTGATTTCTTCCCTATCATAACTTATAGTCATATTTGCCCTGAAATCTAATGAATGATGGTTAACCATAAGTCAGTAAAGACATAATAATAATAATAATAATAGTAGTAGTAATGATTTATTTGGATATATGCACTTTTTAATCAGTGGCACACACCAACAATGGCAGTGCATCCTAAAGACAAAGATAAATTTAAAATATTACAATCAAAATGAAAGACATCAAAACAACAAAAAGAATCAAATCAGCTTAACTAAAAAAGCACATCATCAGATTGTAGATGATGTATCTCTCCTACAACAGCCATATAGGAAACGGAGCACCACTCAGAATGCCTACACCCGCATGAGAGAAGCCCATCAATCAACTATCTGATCGTAACAGGGCTGTTACAACCACGAATGCAGCTGATAAACGTGTCCGATACAGGCACAATTATCCCGAGCATGCACTCAATCCCCGCACAGTTCCCACAAGGAGAAATTCGTCATCTACAGTAGTCTTATTCTTATTCCTCTTTGTCCCGGCCGGGACATAAGGCGTCAACAATCTGCTTCCATCTGGAGTGATCTTTTGCTACATGTTCTGCCTCCTTCCATGTCATACCTGTCTCCTTTATCTTGGCCATCACAGTGCGCCTCTAGGTGGTTCTAGGTCTCCCTGCCCTTCTTTTTCCAGCTGGTGTCAATCTAAGGGCAGTTTTGGGGATACGGTTTTGGTTCATTCTGAAGACATCTACAGCAGTGTAGACCTGCCACCCCTGGGCCATGAAAATCTGGAGATTTTTTTTTAAATCTTACCAAAAAATCTCGAGGTTTTCAGAATTAACCAAAAGATGATGCAATTTACTAAAAAAGACACGTCAAGACAAATCATAGTGGTATATATAAAATCAATGGTACAAAATTACTGCAAAACAACTTTTTAAATTGCTGCTTGTCTATCGCGGCGAATACATTTCGATCGGGGGAACTGGAGATTTTTTTAGATATCGGGTGACAAGATCGGGTGAGTTGGCAGGTCTGGCAGTACAAAGTGTAAAAAAGTTAAAAAGTCAAAACAGCAAACAACAGTGAAACCCAGTGCTTTAGGGACCATCCATTGTTTTCATGACCATCACAAGAACACAAAACGTACACTTTCCATGCTCTTACACTACTTGAAATTTCATTCCCTCTCCCTAGAAAGAGCACATGGTAGAATAATGATTTTGTCACCGGAAACTATCATCTGGTCCCCCAACAAACATGCTCGGACAGAATATAGTAAACCCTCCCTCCCTCCTCACCCCAGAGTATTTTGCACTCTTGTGAAATGAAGTAAAATGGACAGACCCTCAACAACTTGCACCTTAACAATTACAAGGCTAAATACAGTAATTGTATGTTGAAGAATGAAGACAAAATTTAGTTATATAATTGTTTGTTTTAATAAATATATTTTCAAAATAATCTTGTGTTACTGTATATAACTCATAGCATAATTAATGTTTGTATCAAAGTTTGCATTGTAGAGGTTTGAGTAATTAGGTCTGCTTATTTTTAAAGTTTGGTTCCCACTTGTAAAAAACAGTCCTGCAGTGCAACATAGGCAACACAATCTAAAGAAATTCTGTACCAACAATTTCTAATTTCCCCTTACAGAAAGTTGAATTTGCACTTAGTAAGTGTTCCAACGTAATAACGAAGTGTATATGGTTTCCACTTTCCATGCGAATGAAAACATTTGGAACATCAAATCTGATCAAATGTGTTTTTAATGTCAAAAAACAAATAGGAATTAAAGGGTCTGTGCGACATGGCCAACGTTGCTATACATTATTTTATCGCATGGTTTTTTTTTTTTATATTGTGAGCTGTTGTACAAAATCATGGAGGCCTGGAGTTTATTTGACCTTTTGATATTGGCAAGGCTTACCTAGTAATGTAAAGACGAACCAACAATGTAAAGGTTGACTTGAGTTTGTGTTGCGTTGTCATGTTTGTGTTGTCAGTTCCCACACGGAAGCCGCAAATATCTTCAAGTTGCGTCACTTTGCCTTGATACATTGTGTCTACGTCATTGCTTTGCGTCTATAGTGGGAACCCAGTATTTATATCCATGAATCATTTAATTAATGCAAAGTACATTATGGTATCTACCAGTTCTTATGATAGTCTTTGCATTGTCTTGCTAATTACAGTGTGAAAATTGTTAGCTTTTTTTTTTCAAAAGCCAAGGCTGTTCGACTAGCATCATGCAAAGAATTCTTCGATCCCCTGTGAATCTGAAGAAAAAGGTGCCGCAAAGCAAGGTGTTCGGATTGCCTCTGGCCCATCAGATGCGCAATCTCAATGGGGACGTATGCATTCCTTTTATTGTCAAGAAGATTGTGGAATTCATCGTTAAACATGGTAAATATGTTTTAAAATTTTTTTTTTTTTATATTCCCAAGTGTACCAATATGCTACAATATTTATTGAAAAATAATTTTATTATTTTATAGTAGTTTTATTTCAGTTCCTATAAAAATGCATACAAAAATATTTATAAGTTTGTACAACGATAGACAATAATATACAATAAAATCAACTGATTAAAAGGATAATATAAAATATAACTCTTTAATGAGGTTCACACTAGAGCCTTAATATCCAGATTGGGAGCTAACCGTAAGCCCAAATCATTAGCGCGCGTGTGAGAATGCACGATTGATTAGCTCTAACCGCTCCAAGGAAGTGGGTACACTATCGGTTTGTGAGCGCTATTAGTTAGCAAGTTGACCTTATTTCTATCATTAACCAGTCGGACACGCATTTCCAATTTCCTAAGCCAGTGAGGCCTATTGGCTATGGTCACATAAACCAGCTGACAGTTAGCAGGATCCAGATAAAAAACATACTGGCCAACAGGACACTGGAAATTGGAAGTGGATATGTGTGATTGGTTAATGATAGAAACGCGCTCAACATAAACCATAGCTCTCGATTATTGTAGCGTATCCAGATCCTGGTAACGGGTTGGCGCTAACCGATCGGGCATTCTAACACAGGTGCTAACGGTTAGCTCCCCATCCTGATACTAGGGCTCTAGTGTGAACCTAACTATTGTCATCTTAAACAGGAATGAGGGGTTTTCTTGTATGAACGCAGTGGTGAACGCTCATGTTATTAATATTGGTCTGGATTCTGCTAAATGTTAGATGTTGTGTGTTAATATACTGTAGCTTTTAAGTTATATTCTTAAAATTAGATAAAATGGAATTTAAGAGAAACATGAGAAGGAACATAATGAGACAATTTAGAATTGGGGCCATGAAAAATGACATATTGATGATCATTAAGAATCTTGCAAGACATTGCAAATGGCTTAGCCTGACAGCTGTAATCAGTTGGCTTAATGGGCTTGGAAATATACAGTAGAGCTGAGTGTACAGGTATAAGTATTCTTTTTCCATTTAATATTTTGGCGCCGCACCTTTAGGCTGCTACGATCAAGAGGAAACAGTCATTAAGAAACTATGTAGCGGTAGCTTTTACTATGAAGAAATGGGAATTCCGAACTAATACCAAAGAACGTCCGTGAAATATGTGTAAAAACACAGTGACCATGCGCTTGAAAATGCTAGACAGCCAGTAAGCGTGTGCACTGAGTAAATGACATTGTTGAGCCATGTCGAGCATGCGCATTGGGAAAAGTCAATCTCTTTTTATGTAACAGTCTACTTCGTGAATACTTACCTGGATAAACCGACTAATTGCCTATGTATTGCCGCCCCACAATGTTTTGGATGCGTCGGTGCAATGCATGCGCATTGGGAAAAGTCAATCTCTTTTATGTAACAATTAGGGCCTAAGCATATGCGATCATGCATGGCTATGAAATTGAAAATAATGAGAATTCAGGTCGAAAAGCCTTGGCTATCGAAGGCCTACAGACTAGTGCATCATATATCCGTCAGGGAGAATTGTAATTAAATTATCGCAAACGACAGTTTATTTGGCTCTATCGTTGTACGTACCTATGCATTGACAATCCGATAAATAATAACCACAGAAAGCAGTAGGCTTGCTGCTAGTGGGGGAGGGTGTGGGGGTGGCGTGACGGCTAAATAGTCTAAAGCTGTAGCATAAAAATCAGCTATGATGGAATTTAGAACTCGTCAAACTTAGCCAGTAGAATAATAAAAATAATAAAATATATTCTTAAAAATTGAATACTGGTAAATAATATAAAATATTAAAAAATAATAATATTATCATTAATAATAACAACAATAATAATGGAAGAACACAAGCTAAAGAAAGTCGTGGTAGCCCTAGCCTCCATCAAATCATATATCACACTTTCTACATTTCTAATGTTGAGTACTGTTTAGTATGTTTGTTAAATATTTTAATCCTGTGACTGCAATGTAAGTAACTTTGTGGCTATTGTTACACCAGTTGTAAACCAATTCTACCTGTATGCTATTATTTTTATCGCTGACAGACAACTGTCCAAGAGGAAACCATGGGCCTACAGTAGGCCCCAACACAAAAGTGGAACCTCTTGACATAAAATATAATGTAATATGAAATATATAAACGTTGAAAATCTCTGTAAAAAAAGGGGAAAAAATGTTTATTAATGACATAGATTATGTCTTATAAGACAGGGATAAATCAGGCCATAACTAGGGAGTTTCTATTATATGGTTTGGCCAAACTTTCGAATCCCCTCTGATAAACTAAACATTTTCCTCTTTTTGTATCAATCAAAACCATAAAAATCATAATGAAATTCACCATTTTTATGGTATGCCAGACACCCCTAGCACTCCGGCTCTGATATCCTACCTACCTTTTAAAGGAATCCTGTTTAGGCCTTTATTAAATACTTAGGCTATAATTTAACCAAATTTTTCCTGGGATAATATAGGAAAATGTTTCTAAAAGGTCAATTTTATGGACCAGATGGTTCATGTAATTGAAGGATTCCTAAACTTGAGCACACTAATAAAAATTAAGTAAGATAAGCTTTGAAAACACTGATAGCCAATGTAAATGGATATTAAAATTAAACGTGGGATATCGTGGGAGTAAACAAAATGCAACAGACTCGTACTGGAAATTATCAAAAATTTTTTTGCCTGAACCTGAAATGTAATTGAGCAAGGCACCCTGGAAATAGATTGCAGGTGTAAATGCGATAACACAAACGCTATAAATTGATTTATTTATTTTAATTCGTAAATAATAAATGAATGGAAAAAATAATGTACATTGCAATTCTGCTCCCCTCTGATTATCTGAAAATTTACAGTTATTTCATGTGGAATAATTTTACTTAGAGCTGATTTTAAACTAATTCTATATTTTATCTCAATCACAGTAAAATATAAAATGGGCAAGAACTACAATCAGTGCACTAAATTTACGTTTATCTGACATCACATTCCAACTAATGTAGGCCCATTCTTTCTACTATCCAAAAGGCAAATACCTGTACTTAACATGCGTACCTGACTATGTGTATTCTTTGATGTTTTATAACAGTGTATGGGAAAGCAAATTTTCATAGAGGTTGTTGCAGTGTAGCATAGCATATTGATTGTTTAGATTAATCAGGATACGTCCATGCGGAATTATCATAATTACAATCAACTAAACGGGTATACAGATACAAATCACAAAAATTTATGTAAACTTGTATAATATATTAAAACAGTTTCTATAACACAAGTGTTTGGAAAATATACTAAATTTAGTATTTGCCGTTAATGATGTCATCGAGGACATAAACGCAAACAGCGTCATAATTTTGAAACTAAAGTTCATAAAATTGAGGTTCCACTGAATTCACAATCAAAAAAAACTTTGCTCTGGTACACGCATTTTGTATGTTGACCCATTTAGATACATCCTTTCAGATTGACCCACTTAAATTAACCTGCCCAAGTACATCTAAAGTTTGACTGTGATTTTTGCAATTAATGTTTATTATCATTTAAATTTCTCCTGAGGGTAGTTGTAGAAGGTATTGCCTGATTGATACTGATACCTGATGACCCAAATCAAAATTGAAGCACATACATGAGGATAAAGATTTCATTTCATGTTGAATGGATAGTATCCATTAAAAGTGTGCATTAGTTCAGATATGAATGATTTCCTGATGCAGCTTATCTGAAAACAGGCAGATGTTTTTTCTTCTGACCCACAATTTCCTGGTGTTTTGTAGCTATGAATGGATACCATTCAACTAGCTACCAGTAGACCTAACTGTCAAATCTATTAATATGTTCATAATTGTACCAGTCATTTTGTCGTGGAGGATATTATTCATTTATTATAACCAAATAAATTTGACATGACTTTCAAAATGAACAGATGTGGTTGCATACCACGTATTACATTTGAAGAGTCAACAAAGTTTTCTGAAACAGAACAAAATTTGAATCATGTTTGACAAAGGTGAACTGAAAATGTCATTGATTCTATTTGAAATTTGTTGGGATAAAAAAAATTTGTGTTTGATATTCTGTACCTTTTTTTTCTTTTCAGGGATTGGTCATGAAGGAATTTTTCGAATGAGTGGTAGCTCGCGCGTAGTTGATAAATTACGGAGTGCATTTGATAAGTATGGTGATGCTGATTTAGAAGAAGCTGAGGATGTGATGGCTGTTGCATCTCTTCTCAAACTTTACCTTCGAGAGCTACCTGAGCCTATTGTACCAGCTGAAATTCACCGCAGATTTCTTGCTATTTATGAAGGTACGTTTGTGACAGAGAGGGTTTTTTTTTTTTTACGAAGAAGAGTCTACAGATTTATGTTCATAAATATAATATTAATCTTCCATATATATTAAATACGGTTAGTAACAGAAGTTATTCAAACAATAAGTTTTCGCTACAATTGGGTTCTGGAAAATGTTGTTTTGGTATGGTAGAAAGTCATATTAGTAGGTATATGTGACTTACGTTATTAAATTTTGAATAGTCATGAAATTTGAAATATTGTAATTACTGAAATGAAGTGGTTATTTGTTTTTCAATACTCGTGTAGTATAAAGCCAATGTAGTTTTATTGGAGTGGTGGTTATCATAAGACTGTAAGTGATGAAGCTGGGTATTGTTGACCAGCTAAGCCTAGGCCTAGGTGTTTAAGACTGTTTTACAGCATTCTGCCCTAGGTATCTGACTCATATTCCATTAACATCAATATGTTGTGATTTTTTTTTTAGGGAATGATGGAAGTAACTTAGTGAACCAATTAGATAACATGAAGGAGATTTTAGATGACCTGCCGAAAGAAAATTATGTTTTGTTAAAATACCTCAACAAGTTTCTTGTACAAGTTAGCCAGCATGAGAGCACAAACAAAATGACGCCTTTTGCTCTAGCGATTGTTTTTGGCCCTAATTTTTTCAGGTATTTATCTTATCATTTTACTGAAAAATCAGTCCTATTTATACTTCAATGTAAACCTACAATAATCACAGAAAATACTGTAATGACATTGTAGCGATTTTAAATAAACAAGGCTTTAAAAAACATGAAAAAATAGCTTTTACTTCTCATGATTCTATACTTTATTGTTCATGACCTGAGCAGTCTATAATCAATTAAATTAGTCTTCTAATCGGTTAAATGGCTGTAGCTTCCGCGGCTTCAAGATAAGAGTAAAATTAGCAATGAGAATATCCTTATATCTGCAGCTGTTGCCCTTGAATATTAAATATTAATTATATCCGTTTTTCTTGGAAAGACAAATGGCCATCATTGAGACTATGCGCTGGATAGTGCAATGTAGCAATAGCTTCTTCCTCTGCCTATTGAATTTGGTCTGTTGGCCCTAGCCAGCACAGAAAACACCTATAAAAGTAGCCTCTAACTCAAATTTAATACACATTCATTATCACACAAGCACTTTGGTACTTACTACCACTCTGAAACCTGCAATAGACAAGCAAAAGCTACAAAACTGTTAATTACTCTCCTGATATTTTCATCATCATATGTGGCAAAGACAATCCAAACCAGTCACTCGTCGCAAATCGTGTTTCAGAGAAAATGGCCAAAACATGTTGGAATGTCAAATTTTTTAAAATCTATTTTATTGCACGAAAATAATCTTTACATATCTATACATCATTCTATGGTGTTATTTTCCCCCTTTTCAATGTTAATACAACACTTTTTAAGGATTTGATGATAGTTTCTGCATGAGAAAAGCCTGAAATCATAAACTTTGAAGGCTGATTTCTCATATATTGTTCTTTAAACAGCTGTATGTTTAAACGCTTGTAAACTTCATAAGGAAATGTCCGATTTGAATAATTTTTTTACCATTTTATAGCTATTGTTTTACTCTCTAACACTGTATTAATAACTCAAAATTGATTTTTGCGACGAGTGACTGGTTTGGCTTGTCTTTGCCACATATACCTTTAATCTGCACATTTTGCAGCATGTGATGCTCAGTGGCGTAATGCCTATGCGCTTTTTTTGCGGCAGTCCGCACGGCCCCCAACCCATAGGGGCCCCGAACACATGGGATTATAATGACTTGTTAATGAGACAATTGGGTTTTTCAATGAAAATACTTTAAAAAAAAAAAACTTTTATACTCTTTTAAATTATAGATTTATTTTTTATCATTGTATTTGTTGATACGTATAACAGCATAATGTCGTGTCTATGAAGTCGACTGTAGAACCGCCTTCCCGTACCCCAATCTGCACACATGTTTCAAAATAAAAAATAATGGAGCAAAAAAGAAAAATTTAAGTCTGAGAGTGCCATTTTCGGCCATCTAGCGGTACTATAATCCTAAAATGTCTTACCTCAGTCTCAATCATGGTGGGGCTAAGGTGGCTGGACCCTTAGTCTGTAATGAAAGTCCTTTATTGGGCCACCTTTATTACGAATTTCTAGATCTGCCACAGAGGATATATAAAATAATATTATATCATTTACTTCTTCGTTAAATACAGAATACAATGACAAACATAAGCACAAGCTAAAAAAAAAAGAAGAAAAAACGAACACATCGAAAACCTCACAATGGGATTGGCATCCGGGACCTAAAATGGCCCCAGCCTCAGAAAGCCACAGGGTCCCAGGTGCAAGCATTACACCACTAGTGAAGCTACGTACTAAAGTTTGCGCTAAAACTAGAATTCCTGTGGTAATTCTTTTTGATATATTTTTTAGGTGTGATGTCGGTTTCCAAAGTTTTAAAGAGCAAGGCATGATCAACAACATCGTTAAAAGTTTCATTCAAGATTATAGTCAACTTTTTGAAGGTGTTCAAGATACTCTGGCATCGCCTACCTACAGCTCTACTATTATACAAGTACAAGAAAATCAATCACTTAGCCCACCACAAATAAAACCAAGAAAAAAGAAAAAAAAAACCCAAACCAAACCTGTAAGTTTAACACCATTATTTTATAGGTATTAATGTAGGAATGCTACAAAACTCTCTCCGGATCATCACATTTTCTGTGACAAAAAAACTGTTGTATGCCGATAATCATGATGAGCCCATGTACCGTATAGTCATGATGTGATGTCATCATGATGTGCCCATGTACCGTATAGTCATGATGTGATGTCATCATGACCATATTCAGGCATGTCACTTGTTTTTGTGAAATGAAATTTGATACTCTGAACAAAGCTTTTAAGATGTCATAATCATTGCAGCGCTTACTGGAATATTTACGTTAACAATGCAAAGTAAGCCGCACAAAAACATTGTACAGATTCTAGATCCTTCAGTGCCATACTTATTCGAGAATGAATTTTTGAGGGAGGCTTAATACAAGTCTTTGAAGTAATAAAATAGTACCATGTAGTATAAATTTTTAAAAAGGATGTTGGGTCCCTTTTCCCCTCAGTTTTGAAATATTCAAAAATCTGTATCTTAAGCCAGGCACTCACTGACGGCGTATGACCGTATCTCATATTGAGATTTAGTTTGTGTTAAGCATCATGTGTGTATGTTTGTCTTGTGTGTCGTGGACTGTTTTATGTGTACTGGGCCCTCTGGGAGAACGGTAATTTGTTACTGAAGAGGAAACCCAGTAAAAAGAACAAATAAATAAATCCAACTCCGCTCTCTGTGAGAGATAGACGATGTGATACCGTCTGCTGATTGTCGGTAGCAGGCTGAACTGATTGTCGTTAAAAACGATCCGTTGCATTCTTTATAGAATAATCTTTATAGAAAAATAATTTGTACTACAACATATCAAAAAATTATTTCTTGATTACTTACTGGCTCTAACATCATCCTATTCATACATATACCAAAACATCTTAAGTATATGTTGACGATTAAGCACTGTAATGTTTTATTCAAAATAGAATATATTGTTGCTCACATCACAAACTAATACAATCGCATTAGATTGTGTTCGTAAAATCACAAAAGCATGTCAAAATACGCGCAGATGTTGGACTTTTTGTGTGATGAATATGAAAGTGCCTGACAACCAATACGCGCTCGTTTTGACGTGCTACTGTGATTTCGATATCTCCAATAAACTTTGAATACCTATTTGAGAAGTGCTTAGTAGTACATATTTGTGAGGGATGCTTATTCTCTCGAGAGATGATTATTGGAACATTCACAGTACATTTAGATTTCAATTTTATATTAAAACCATAAAATATGTGAGCAGTCGTGACAATATGAGTCTTGTGGTACGAAAAATGAAAAATGAGTTATTGATATATTTAGACAGATGACTATGTAAGCTTTATTTTGGTATTTAGATCATGTTTTTAGGTTGAGTAAAGCCGGAGTAAGATAATCAACTGATAAATTTTGTGTTGGTTTTCCTATCAATTCTTAAAAACAGCTTTACAAAATGGGCCTCAAAAACATGATTACCTTGGGAAGCTCAACTCGGATCTTTTGCTACTGTGAAATATACTGTACATATTAAACTTTCAGAAAAATTGAAACCAAATTTTGTCAAAATATTACTTCAGATACATTTTCTTGATTATATTAAATTGACCAGACTCATTTTGTCAAGACAGCTCACATATGTTTTGCCGTTAATAGATGCGTTTATACTACTGTTTTTATATATATTTTTCATATGCCCTTAATTTGACTCTGAAGTTATTTGATCTGTTTTGAATCAGCAATTGATTTTTTTTATATTTCATGTTTTCTATGTTTAAATTTTAGTACTCATTAAACTTCAAATAAAAAATAAATTTTATGATTTCTGAAGCAATGTTTTACTACTTTGCTATTACAAAAATATAGAAAATAATTTTTAAACTAAGTGAATAGCAATCTGATCTAGCCTTTTATTTTCCAACTAGTAGTTTAAGATTATTTTTTATATATCATGATTGATAATTAATGTTATTTTTCTGTCAAGTTAATTACCATATCTGTGTACCTAACTTTCATTCATTTAATTTATTTTATAATTTGTTATGTTGATCTATTTATGTATTTTGGTCACGAAGTAGAAGCGTGCCACAGTTTCAAAAATGAAGATTCCAAATAAATTACTATTCAAAATTGCGAGAGTCTGAACATTATCAGTTCATGCTATATATACAACAGCAGATAATTAAATAATAGCAGTAATAATGATAATGATTGTGACAGTGATATTACATTTGTTGTAGTTATTTCACTAAACCAATCTTTCTAATGTGGTTTAGGTTGTGGAATTGAAAGACCTTAATAGTAACTCAATAATCGAGTGTGATTTAGAAGCTAATTATATGGACAAAAATGATGTCAATGGGTCTTCAGCATTACTCAGGTAAGCTTGCAAATCATCAATAGGATTATGGTAGTAGAAAGGTTTTAAAAAATTCAATCAGAGGGTTGTAGGCTTGAACATGAGGTGCTTTATCCAAGGTAATTTTTCTACATTATTTTAAAGATACATGTTAGCAAGTGATCGGTTTGGTAATTGCTACTTAGTTAACAATTATCTGAATTTAGCATACACTCTGTGTTTAGCTAAAAAACATGAACAATAAAATTCAAAAAATGAATTAATTACTTTTGTATGTTTTAAATCAGATTTATTAACATTCATTTAAAAATAGAAAAGGAGAAAAATATTTTACAATTAATAAGATGCGTAAACATTATTATTCCTATTTGCAAAATTGGAGAAATGTTTAGTTCCAGGATTTTAAAAGTAAACAAACAAAAACTGATTTCTTTCTTTTAATTTGTGTCTTATCTGAAGTTAGCTCTAAGTTATAATTTAATTTTACTGCTTTTGCAAATATTTGTATTTACACAGTATATATAAGATATTTATTAATTATTCAATTCATTTTTCTGCTTGCTTTTTCTGGGTTTTCCAAAATGCCTTTAAATCACTTTAAGATATTTATTAACGATATATATATTATGTTATTTTATGTTTCTTAGCCCACATGATATTGCATTTGATCGTGCTCATTCACCATTTCACCTGGACAGCGATACTGGTACAAGCAACACCGCAACACCTGTAACAAATGTATCCTGCTCTGAGTAAGTTTAGCATTATATTTTCAGTTGGAGATATACTGTAGGTTGGTGGTTAAGATGCTTGCCTTGTTCAAGTCCAGTGACATTCAGAATTTGTGTCGCAGAACTGAAAAACCTCTCCTCATAATGAGACTTAGTTTTATCTAATTTACTTTTTAGATAGCCCCTGGATATCAGCTCATTATTTAGAATAATCTAGAAGGATCAACCTCTATACATATGGTTTAAAAATATATTTTTTGAAAAGCTATTTATCCTTATACAAGTTTGTTTGCACTAATTTGTGTATCTTATTGTGATTTTTTTTACAACGAAAACTTTTTAATTCTGCAGACTTGTGGAGAAGGCAATTGGTGATAGTATTAGTTATCATTTGTTTGGCGAGAATGAAGAACGTGATTCATCTACAGAAAGTCGTGAGTAGCCATTACTAATAATATTATTGTCTTAAATTGATCACTACCAATTTATATTTATCACTAATTGTTTGCTTATTTGAATTTATCTCAATTTTTATTTTCATTTTCTTCCATTGTTTTGGTGATAAGTATACTCAGAATGTTGAAAATATTGAAATTATATAATATCATTCTTACTCAAATCACAAAAGAATAAATAATATCACCAAAAAAAATTAATAATGCATAATGCAAATTTACTTGATAGAAAAGAGGCCTACCTCGTAAATGCTATTCACCAAATTCTCACTATTGTAAGGAGTCGTTCATAATTGTCAATATTTTTACAAGTATACAAACAGTACTCTTTTTTGGTACCCTCTCTTTCCTCTCTGAAAGTGTACATACAAAATGTTGATTTTGCAAAACCGTTCTCCATTTTTTTGTGAAGTCAAGTACTGTACTGTACTTGGTTACTTAAAAATGTATATTATATCCATGGTTGCATTATAATTGGTAATAAAAATCTATTATTTTAAATAATGCATGTTATTTTGAATCAACATTTTTATGCATATGTAAAAGTGTACAAATTTGTCTACCCTCTTCCCCCTAGCATATTGTTTGTACATTTGTGAAAATTTTGATAATTGTGAACGAGTCCTAATATACTGTAAAGAAAAATTTACCACTATTTAATCATACTGCAAAAATCTAATCTTTAAAAAAAATTCAAAAAACCTGTAATCCATTAATGTTGGAAATTTAGATTACATTTTGAAATAAACCTGCATATTTCAGGTTGTAAAACATTATTGTTACCTGCATATGTTATGGTGTCTAGTGAAGTAATCATTGTAATATTACACACAGAATGAACAAGATTATCTGAGCTTAAATCCTAGCTTCTTTTTGAGATATTTGTAGTAGAAAACATTGGACACAAGCAGCCTATGTGCTGGCATAATATATGATAATTGTTTTATATCTTGTTTTCATTTTTTAAGCAGCTCCGCAAAGACCCCAACGACGTAAAGATTTTAACAGAAAACAACTTGAAATTGATACAACTAAAAGGTGATGTATCAATCCAACACACATTTTATCACTAAATTTTTTCAGTAAACGGTGGATATGTTTGTTAAATATGTTTTCTGCATTCTGTTGACAAGTTAAGCCTAGCTTTGTCGGTTAATTCCCCGTCCTTCAAGTACTCTGTCAGTAAACTATTTTAAGTGTGTTACTGAACAATAAACCAGTCTAAGCAGGCTTTCACACAATTCAATATGAGAACATGTGTAAAGCATATAATACAAAAAAACTATAAACACTAAGAACGTAAACTAATTTATTATAAAAGGATGTCAAAAAATATTTTCCCCATTGTAATTAAAGCTAGGCTATTTTTTCTAAGACACAAAAAGGGTATTTGACGAAATACTTAGGAACAGTACATGAGATACAGATTTTTGAATATTTAAAAACTGGGGGAAAAAGGACAAAACCCACCTTTTTCCCCAGTTTTTAAATATTAAACATCTTTGTATCATTAATCATTCCCGAGTCTTCCGTCAAGCACCATTAATATAGTTCTAACATTGATTTCATGGATTTAAATTGTAATTGTAGGATAACTGATGAAAGTAGGACAGATTCTGAAAGCTCTTCTTCAAAGGACAAATCATTGCTAGATTCACCTGCTTTTAAGCAATTTGAAAAGGCTGGAATCATTATACAACCGGTAGGTCAGCAACTTAGCAGCTTCTTTGACAAATAAAACTATTTTTGCTCCATTTCTTTATTTGGGGATTGTGTTAATGGCTATACTTATAAAAGTCAATGATGTGTGCATGCTAGGCCTAACTAAGAAGGGTTAGTTAGGCTTACTTAGAATTTTACCACTTTTATTTTACATAGTTTACCTTTATTTTCTGAAACAAATTAATGTCTTGTTGCAATAAACATGTTCTGTATTGTACTTGATCAGTATCGTATATCTCTGCAAAACATGCCTAAAGTGGTGCTGTACCTACTTGGCTGTCCCATGCGTGCAACAACAATAAACAAAAAAAAAGTGCAAGTAGTAGGGCGCCTCCTACTACATCCCGCGATATTGTGCATGAGATCGCCGCCTGCATTGTTGCTGACATATTAGACGTTTTATTATCTTTCAAAAATAAAGGGAAAAAAAACTTGATACTGTAGTAAAGTACTCCTGTATTTTTATTTTTAAACAAAATCTCATATGATAAGACGAGACTAAGAATATAATTGGCGTCATCATTATCTTTATTTGTGCTCTGTGCGAATTTTCTCAAACACGTCACATTGAACTCACAGGAATTAAAGCGACAATAACATGCATTTCGCCAAAAATAAAAAGATAAATAAATAAAAAATCATGTGGCTGTATACTGTACCATACATGCAAGAACGGACTACAGTATATAAATGGGATGCTTCTTGCTCACGTACGGTAGGTACTGTGTCTTTAAAACCTATTTTTCTCTTAACCATTCTCTTAACACAACAGTACAAATATTGTTTAAAAAAAATATCTATTATTGATTTCTGTGTTAATTTTTTGTGAGACTCGCATTAAGAAGGCCTCATATCTATCGGCCATAATAGCAATATCATCAAGAAGATCACCTACAGACATATTGATCTCCTGATCATGTCCACCGCATTAAACATCTCCCGCAATGTTGGGGTAGGGACTTCTTCACCTAACTCTTCTTCCGTCTCTTTATCCTCGCCGTCTGATTGCTCAGTCTGCTGCACCAAATCAACGATCTCTCTATCTTCTATATACTGGTCTATCGCCCCTGTATCTCCGTCGTCAATGGATATGTAGTCAGCCAGTGGAGGAAGTTTAAACCTTTCTGCAAGATGCTCCCTAATGTTGCCAAAGTCCTTTTCTTCTGGGACATCTTCAATTATCTACACAGTAGTAACAGATATCATAATTTAGTCGATATTAAACATAAAAAATATATTGTAAATTGCTTGTTTTTTTTATGCAATATTTATGATGTAACAAATCAAACTTACTAGAGTCACTTCATCATTGTCACTGTCATCAGGTTTGATGAAGCCTACTTTACGATACACATTAGCGATGGTCTGAGGTGTTACCTTCTTCCACGCGCTCTTCACCGTCACAATTGCATCCAACAAGTTCCATTTAAATTCTTCATTGGTCTCTATTGCCGCAAACCTACGAATTGCTAATATGTGGCGGTAGTGGTGCTTGAGATTTTTTATGCTTCCCTCGTCCATCGGTTGTGTAATACTGGTTGTATTTGGCGACAGAAACACTAGCTCCACTTAAAGTCAATTCAACCTGGGGTTGTGCAGTACAATTATCCACAACCATAGCTGTCTTTTGTCTGCTCAGTCTCATTTTGTTGTTTAACTTATTCAGCCAACTCTAAAAGAGTACACCCATCATCCATGCATTTTTGTTATTTGTGTATTCCACTGGTAGTTTTTTCACATTTTTAAACGCCCTCAGATTCTTGCTTTTTCCAATTACGAACAAGGGCAGCTTGTCTGATCCATCCATGTTTGCCGCAACAAGAACTGTTATTCAGGTTTTTTCCTGTTTTCCACCATGGAACTCCTTACCAATAAATTCCAAAGATTTTTCGGGGAGCATTTGCCAGAAAAGGCCAGTTTCATCGGCATTGTAAATGTCAGATGCTTCATATCTATTTAGAATGTCCTTTAATTTACCCTCCGTTCACTCGTTCACAGACTGCAACTCCTGCTACCTCACCGGCCTTTTGGATTTTACCAATGCCATATCACACCTTAAAACGATTAATCCATGACATTTTAACGCCCTCTTCATGCCTTAACTCATTAGCGAAATAATTTGCTTTTGTTAACAACATATCGCCATTAATCCGAATATCAGGAATTGACTCTTTCTGCCAAAATCAGGTTAGGAGAGCCTTATCGACATCACCGAGTGTAATAGACTTTACTCTCTTGTACTTTCTCTTTCTTGCATCTGACTCTTCTACAGTTTTAGTAATTGACTCCCACTTTTTAAGAATATCCGACAATGTGTTAGGTTTAACGTCAAAATTAGCTGCAACATCTTTTTTTTTCCAAGTTGGATTGTCATCACAGAACTTAATAATCGCATGCTTTTCTTCATTGCATCATTTTCTTCATACTTGATCTGGTTACAAGTTTTCTTTTCGAGCATGCCTTTGCGAATGAAGATGCAACAATTGTTAATCTAGAATATAAGAATGGTATGGGGGTTCCTAATTCGGTGTGGTTGCAGAAATTTTAAGTGAGTTACAAGAGAACTACTGATATTTACTAAAAATACCATGAAAACATGAACATCATGTTTTTTCATCGTCGTCTTCATCAGCCAAAATGGAATATTCAATAGTGTCCTCTATCGATGATGGCTTCACATAATTCCTCCAACCCTTTGATTTTTACTTAACCATTTCTTTAACTACCAAGCGTTACATTAGTAGCATACTTTCTTATAGGAGGTAACTTGCTGAGATGGGTCCTTGTTCATTTTACACTAGGCGTTGCCAACCCACTTTGTTATTAGAAGTCTTTGCTTGCTTGTACTTATCTTTGCCGTCACATAATTGTCGTAGTCCTTTTTTATCTCATTCTTGAAATGTTTGTTGAAGGCAACATCGACGAGCTGCACTCTGCTGGTGTGTCTGAATTGATTTCCTACTCTTCATCTATCAATGTTTACATAATACCTTGCTTTATACACCATGTGTTTAGTTTAAATGTCAAACTGTGACTCTGGTTTTGATTGAATCTGAATATAGAAAATACATCCATACACAGAAACATAAAATCTACTAGTACACAAAATATTAATTACGTGTCACATATGTGGTTTGCAGCAGTAAGTCCTATTGAAAATAATCTAAAGCTATTTTTACGGACCTTTTCCTTTTCTGTGGCTCACTGGCTCATTCCAATTAAGAACATCTGCTGTACCTTTGGGATTTCATCATCAAATATGGTAACTTGAGGGCCTCTTTGAGTCAGCCTCGCTGTAAGAGCCCCCTCGTGAAATATTGTTGAATAAATAAATAAATAATTAATCACTGTCCTTTGTCGAGAACTGAGAAGCCACTCATTACCCAGACATAACGAAGGACAATGGAGTCGGCCCGTGTTGTGTTTTCACTCTCCTCGAACTCTTGCATTAAACTTTGCCTTTTTGACAGCTTAGTCAAATAATGGGTGCCAAAGCTGTGGGGGGATTTTATTCTTGGGGATTTTAAAGTCCTCTGCTCTCTTTTCTACTGCAGTTTGTTTGTCTCTAGCCTTTATCCACCACCGTTTTAATTCAGTACTCTCCTTAAACTCTTTAAAAGCTCTTTCGCTAGGGCTTTGTACAGTGTCTTTCTCGTACTCCAACCAACAAATGAACAGTTCTTTGAACTTACTGCAGGCAATTGCGTCCTCTTTTTCTATTCTCGCACTAGATTACGAACAATACTAAATTCCTTTGCAGTCTTTGTGATGTAATTCCCATTAGCGCTATTTCACTGTAAAACATTAATCTTGTAGTCTTGAATGTACACTTCTATTGTCAGAGCCAAAAATCCCAAACTTGATGTGGTTATCCACTTGAACTTTGTGGCGTATGTAGCATATACCGCATAAGCATGATACGCCCATAACGCACAAACAGGCCTCTGCCATAGAAAGTGTGATGACCTAGCTAGGCCTAGAGACAACCATACAATCGGTATTTAATCACTTGCTACCCAGTCCATTGCACAATTTATGTTAAAACCATTAAATATTGTTTGAAATAATGGTCTTTTATCCTGCAATGAAACGAATGGCCTTGGAAGCAAAATGTGTACTTGGTGGAGGCCTTGAAATTACCTACATTCTGCATATTTGCTAATGAGGCTTACAAGACTAACATGCAAGATGCATTCAGGGCAGCATTTGGATATAGTACTATGTGATTTAATATTCAAAAGATTTCTACTTTTACCTTCCACCTTATTAAAAGAGATTTAAAGATAACGTCATTGTTTCCACAAACAGTGAATTATTGTTTTCATTTATATAAAATGTGACCTTTGAGCAACAAGATGATTTTTTGAGTAAAGATTTGCTTTTGAAAATGGTTAATCTTGAAGAACTCTTTACAGAGGACAAGTAGTAGTGTAATGCCATCATTGTTGGTGCCAGAGGATTTGCTTTCAGCTGAACTAAGTCCACGATCAAAACGAAGACAAAAGAATGTGCTAGCAATGTCTTCCAATACTCCAGTAAAGACATCTCAAAACACAAGGTAAGGATCATAGAATTATCTATACACCAGTGGCGGATCAAAGAATTCAAAATAGAGGGGGCTCAGGGAGGGTGTAGTTTTTTTTATAACTTCAAAGAATTTAGGGGGCCCCGGGGCCGGCTTGTCTCTCCCCCCCCCCTTTCCGAATCTGCCACTGTACACATTAAATACAGTGATAATGAAAGTAGTATTGCAATGATAATAGCATTTTTAATCAATGCTTAATTACCAACAAATTTTTAAAATTTTAAATATAATCTTAAGAAATATGTTATTGACTTACTTTATAATGAAATATGTTTGTTGGAAAGATTTCCATTTTAATGGTATTTTCAGTAAATATTAACTATATTATTCTATTTTCCAGAGTCAAAAACATTAATATTTAACTTTTTTATCTTACATTAATAATAATATGCATGCAAAGTGATGTGACTCAGATTTGTTTGTTTCCTTTCCTATCTTCTATTTCAGAAAACCTTTACCTACCGGTGCAGAAGATGAGGAGCTAGAAAACATCTCAAGAAAAACTGATGTGCTATCATCTGTAAGTAGAGCATAACATTAACACACTAAGGATGGGGTTTCATCTGTTGCTTCAATCTATGGCTACATAGGACACATTTGTGTTCCCTGCATTACGATATTATTACCGTGTTTCTCAAGTAGCGCTTCAGACTCCCAAGTTTTCGCATTTTGCTATCTGTACAGAATTTTTTAAATTTTTGCCGAAGTTTCGACTAGACTTTCTAAGTGTTCATCAGGGCATGCACGATGCAAAAAAGAGTTGTTAGGTACAGCTTAGTTATGCAGTCTGAGTCATGACGTGTAAGCTGGTGGGTTTCAAACTCCGCCCATTGATGACGTCATTCTTGAGGGAAATTACTTCCCGAAGGATGACGTCATCAGCGCACTCCACCCAACGAAGATGTCATCCCTCGCTGCAAGATTCTTAGTAGTTCGTCGACATTAACTAGGTAAGTGCTTGTGTCCGTCCCCTGCTTAAAATTCTCTGATCAAATGAAATCTGAATAAGGAAAGTATCATAGCATATGTTGGTTTTACAGCTTACAGCCAAAAGAGTAACCCCACCAAAAAACAGACGAAAACCCACCAGAAAACAAAGGTTAGTCTACATTAATAATTATGTTTGAGATTTATGGTATTTTTGGTTTTAAATTAATATTTATGATTCATCTGAAATTTAGTATTTTTATATGAATTTTGTAATCAGCTGTCCAAATTTTTTGTTTCTTAATGTTTACTTTCTATATATTAATAATAATAATATGCAGAAATTTATAACGCACCAATTCAAAAAACATTATCAAAGGCGCAGTGAACAATTAACCCAATTTAAAAGCGATTTTGTAAACAAAAAAGTTTTTTTTTATTCAGTAATTATTAATGTATTGTTCAATTCATATAGGTGGTTATAATGATTTAAGTTATAAGGGGCTCACTATGTAATTTTTAATCATGGCTGAGACTCTGCACATCTTGTCCTTAGATTTGATACAGATATCAAAGTACCTGAAGATATGAAACATGAGATCATGGATTCAGAGCCTTTGAGAAGCAAAGACCAAGAAAGTGTTCTAAGCCCATACCAAGCTGACATGACACAGGAATCAAAGGAAACCCACCACAGAATATCACCCCACCGGATGCTAAGAGAGAAAGAGAACCATAATGGGGTGTCCATCAGTCAGATGCTAGGGGGGCAGGAGAACCGTAGTGGGGTGTCTGTCAGTCAGATGCTCAAGATTGATATCCCACCACTTAATCTGGACAGCTTGCATGAACATGTTGATGGAAATGGTGAGACTTCCTTTCAGTGGATTATGCACATTTCAGATTCCTTTTACTATTAACAATACAATTACTATTAACTAAACAATAAAACTTAAACTGAAAAACTATTACCAAAGTTTATACCCATCTATGTCCACCCCAAAAATATTTTTGGTAATTTTCTTGTATTATTTTCAGTCTAGAATTAACAATCCTCTTCAGTTAAGTTTTGAATTGAAATGTTACACTGTTTATATCTACCCAGTTGTATTCTTGGATAAATTTTAAATAGAAAAAATACAGAAATGTATGTGAATCAAGTTTAAAATTTAGCATCAAGATATAGGTTTGTCTAGACCTTCCTATATCCTTTCTTTTGTGAGGCATTAGCCCATAGCTGAATTTTCAATTATGCTTAAGATAGACTTAAATCTAGGCTTACATGCTCACTAATTGTTTGCATTTTCTTACACCCAGTATGGGGTTAATGGGGTGGGCTTACATTTGGGGAACTATAGTATTAGAATTGTTATAATGGTATAGAGATGATGCAAAATCATTAACATTATTATTAATCACTTCACTTGCTTAGTACTATTCATTTTGTAACTGGTCATAGATAAATCATGAATATTTTGAAAATATAGATCAGATTCTACATTCAATTTGTAGTATTTTAAATATTATTAATAAGGTTCATTATATTTGTATTTTACATTAGAGCCAATTCAAGCTTGGAAATCGAAGGTAACTCTGAAGACAGATGGAGAGGCATTGCTTTCACCTCGATCCAGCAAACTCCAGAGAACCTCAAGGTTGACATCCTAATAATATTCATCTATATTCTTTGTTGTTGTCCCCATCTTTAATTCCTATAATACTTCGTTATAATTCATTTGTGCAATACACTGAATTCTAACATGCCACGAGTGCAGCTGGATAATCATAGTAATTCCAGGAGAGACAGTTCAATGATGTTTATATATACAATCCATAATGATGTACATGGTAGATTTGTAGGGGTGGCAGAAGCCTCTAGTATTGCATTATAACCTTTAACCTTTTGTAATTGGTGAGAGAGAGTCCATACCAATGTCAGCCCCTCCATTTAATTTGTAATCATCATTGATTTACAATAAATATGTAATTATTATTCAATTTATAATATTTATCACATATTGGCTATGTGGATGCCTGACCTACTAGACCAATTCTGCCACCTCTGTTGAGGAGCTTGTCTTTTGCTGTAGCTTGTATAGTTATGCTTGTGCATAATATGTTGTGTGTCCTACCATGCGTGTGTCCTAACCTGCGGTGTGTCCTGCCTTGCCGTGTATCCTACCCTACCATGCAGTGTATAAAACTATGTGATGTGTCCTAACATGTTTACTTTATGTGGTTGGATTCCTAGAATTATGAAGATTTTAACTAAACACTATTTGGATGAATTAGAAATAGAGAGTGGGAGGAGATTTCAGCTTGTATACAGATATTTCATTAAGATTGCTTTACTGTTTTCAACCTAGGTGTCAGTATAAACACACAGGTGACTTATTTAGAGGTGTATGTAGGTGGTGAGCAGGGGAAAACGTCTCCCCAGAAAAAGCTCTCACCCCCAGTCTCTCCCAAAAAAATCTTGATCAAGTATTTCAAAATCACCTCGTATCACCTTATTTTGTGACCGCTGCGGTTTGCTGCAGCTGGAACAGTTTGGTTTCCCAACCTTGAGGTCGATGGTTTGAATCCCTTGCTGTGCATTTCGCTTGTGTCCTTTAGAGGAAGACACTTAATATCTGCATTGCTTCTCTCCACCCAGGAGTATAAATGGGTACCTGGTGGGGTTGCCTGCTCCTGCACTGATTAGCAGCAGCAACACTTATAGCATGTGGACCCAATGACCAGGGAAAAGAACTGCGCTTTATAACCTCAATGAAGAGGCGCATTATAAATGCCCATACCAATACCAGTACCAGACCAAGCTTCCACTCGCTTAATCTTCAAGTTCCACCTTCACCCCCTGCCATCTCCACCCCTGCCACCACCTGCCCTTCCCCCTCAATTTCAAGACTAGATACACCAAAGGACTTGTTAGCAAAGTGGATTGGCCCTCATCCTGGGGAGAACACTGTTGTCTTGTGCATTATGCTAAATCTAACAACTGTTGATGCTTTCAGTGTACCTGAAGATACTGATGTCCCACCATCTCCACCAAACTCACAGCCATACCTTAAAGGGTGCGTATAGATTAAAGAACTTCTAACCCATCACCTTTGCTAGATTATACCAACCCTTCTAACTTAATCACAATGATATTTATGTTATGTTTGTCCTTCAGTATTTGCATGGATGTGCTATGCAGTTAATTTTTGTGTCTACTCCCCGCCTACGGGCAAGTAGACACTTTCCTATCTCTATAGTTGTAAGAATAAATCCAGTTAAAAGGAATGATGGGATACCGTCATTGTGTCATATGTAATATGATGCCATGCCTAGACCTGTCTCTTATACACATCTAGATGTGTATAAGAGACAGGTAGACACACATTCACACGGGAGCCTAATTTTAATATTATAATCATAATAATTAGTTACTTGAATTGTTTTTTGTTAGCTTGAAGTGTCAACCTCTATAAAGTTTGTTGAAATAAATAAATAAAATAAATAATCTTTAATACTTAATTCAAAACCGTAATTTTGATACCTGCTTAACACAATGTCATTTTGTAGCTTTAAATAACAATATAAAAGGAATTTAGTAGCCTATTTTGGTTAAGAAAGACTCTTGAAATATATTTGTTTTGTAGTATATTTTAAATAATATGAACAATAATAATAATTCTTAAGTATAATAATTGTGTACTACTTACATGTAGATCTTCACGAACGGATGATGGTGAAAATGTGAAAGTGAAACAACTTTCCAGAAAGATCCGAAGCTTGAAGAAGAAGATCCGACGCTTTGAAGAACGATTCTATGAAGAAAATGGCTTCAAACCATCCCATAGTGATAAGGCCAGCAATGCAGATATCAAGAAGATTATGACAGAGTTGAAACAGGCCAATAAAGATCTAAAAAGTAAGCGATCATTTAAAAAAGCTTTTAAACCATTCATACTGATAGTGTGCAGTGTTTCAGCATAGAACTAGGACAATTATGATGATTATGATAATGTATCTAAGTTTCATACGACTTTTTTTCATATAAATTTATAAATTTTATGTAAATCATTCATAAATAGACCATGTTGCTGCACTGTCGGTTCGTGACCACCATCAGCCTGTCGGCAATCAGTGCCAGGCCTAGGTTTTGGAAACTGACACCCGATCTAGTTTACAAATTTTTCAATTTATGCACACCCGTTTTTTACATTACATTTTACTGTACATAATTAGTCTTTTTTTTTTCTTTTTTTTTTTTTTAATGAAGTCTATGTAAGATTATCATAAAAAAGCAAATGAATTATATTATTGGTAATTAGTTGTTATTCCCATCAACAGAGATTAAAGCAAATGTGAGGAGTGAAGATTACACTGAACAGCCAGATAGACCTTCTAGCGAGCCCAGAAGTTTATTCAGTGCTGAGAAAGAAGATACATCAGGGAAAGTAGAAGCCTTAAGGAAGGCTCAGGAAATGCTGGAAAAGAAACGACAAGAAAGTAATAGAACTCATGATCTTCAGGTGGGTTGATGTCTTCAATTGGTACTGGGGGCTGTATCCATCATGTGGACTGTAGTCTAAGCATACCAGAGGCATGCTTAAGTTCCCCCATCTTCACTAGTCAGACCCCCTTGAACTAAATAATTTCTAATATTGTTTACACATGTGTACTGTATTTTTATGTGGTTTGGTGGGTTTGCAAATAATTAACAAGAAAATAATGATATCATTTATTCCTCATTGATTTAGTTGATGACTTATGATGAAGTGCAAGAGGAGAAAGTTGCAGTTCAGAAGGCATTACTGCAACTTGAAAGTGACTATGGCAGGCCTGTGAGTAAATATGACGATCACTTTAAATTGTGATTGAAACAATTTTGAATTGCGCCCTCTAAAATATGTTTGTTAATGTTAAATATTGTTATCATTAATTATTGTAATTTTATTACAGAGAAACAAGGCAGATAAGGAATTGATGAGACCATTATACGACAGATATCGCAGTATTAAGAAAATGATATTGAGATATGTAAGTTTGGTTGTGATTGAATATATGTTATTTGGTTTGAAAATTTGTTTGTTAACCTCGCTGTTCTTTCACCAATATTATATACAGAGTGAACAGGTTTGTTGTTGGGCAGTTTGCACGGTGTGAGGATGTAGTCCAAGGACCATAGAGGAGACTCAGAAAGGGGTCACCATTGTCCCAGATCCTGGTCTTTTTCCTCTTCAGGATCCAGAGAGACAATTTGATATGCATGGTGTTTAAATTAATGTTTCTTGAATATAATTATTTTTGCACTCACAATGTGAAAGTTCATAGTATACAGATCTCCTTCCAATTAGAGACCATTTTTGGGACCAGGGTTTTCATGGTCTTTAGCAGCTCTGGTCTCTAAATCGAATAATAATGATAAAAGGCATTTGTGAATTTTGGAACCACAGAAAAGTTGTCTTTAATTGGAAGGACTTTAATTAGAGATAGACCTTATTAATAAAGTAAAACAGGAAGAAAATCTTGAAAATGACGTAAATTTTTTGTGTTGACCTAGGATTTGCGTGGACGGAATCTAGAAGAGCCTCGAGCAGCTTCAAGTGATTTACAGACTATTGAAGAAGGCGAAGAAACAAAAGAATTTGTTGCTAAGGCTTCACCGGTTAGTTTTTAAAAATACTCTCTAGATTCTAAATGCTTTAAAGAAATGTTAATGGTGTTTTTTGTTTTGATGGTATAAAATATAGCCTTGTTTGTTTTATTTTATTACGGGAGCTTTGTCGGTCGCTATAAAGTTAGTTTAATTGCACAAATACATGATACTTATAAAGAAATAACAATAATAACATTAATATTAATTGAATGCTTACATGTTGTTCTTCATACGCAACCGGCCATGGCATAACATGGTACGCAGTTTTGTGTGCTGCTATGGATAGAGAGACCCAGGGACAACCCCAGGACATTATTTGTCTTCTTTTTCACCAAGGAATACGACAAGTTTTTTGGCTAACAATATGCAATAAATGTGGACATGAACACCTAAGGAGGAGGGTGCATGTTTGCTGAAAGCCTACTGTACTGTAGTGGGGAAGCCTTAGTAGAGGTACTGACAGTACAGTACAATTTTGTGGTAGAACATACCGTAATGTATGGTGGCCAAGCACCTGCAAAAACAGTTGCGAAAGAAATCAGTTAAAATAAGAACAATTCACTTGCAAAGAAAATTTGGCCATTGTCAGGCGTACCTTGTTTTAACTATTAGGCAATACCAGCAATACAACTGTTGTGTGTGTAGCCCACTGTATATCAATGTCCAAAAGAGCAGGGTGGGCAGGTTATACGCTTTTTATACAGAGAAAAAGGTGACTTAATCTTAAAAATGATGTGTACATATGTTAACCAAATTTTGAGTGTGATTTCACCAAAAAATGAAAAATTTCTTTGATAAGAAAAATATTAACTACAAGGTTTGTGGGCATAAATTTTATAATACAATTTAAGGATATCACCATCTCCACACCCTACAAATTACAGCTCACATTGACATGTCAGTCGAGAAATACGGGTAGTTAAACTTTGTCTCGCAAATTCACATACAAAATTAAATATAATTTTGAGGTTCTACTTCTGACTTAGTATTGTGCTTTCACACACTCGCCGCTGAGGGTGGCATTCCGGGAACTTTGTGTCAAGACACACAGAAATGACCGACTTCCATAAAACTGCGTTGAAGGGCAGACAGAATTTGTTAAAAGAAACTCAAGGGCCTTTTAGGGGCATTTAGGTGGATCAGTCGAGATGAGTTGTGCTGTTAATTCTGTATACTGTTCTGTTCTATAAATTTAACTACCTGTACCTAATTATCCTCTAATAATTATTTTTAAATCACTTTCATTTAATAGACAAGTCATGATGAGTATCTGGATAAATTATTTATGGTAACTCAAAAAATACCTGAGGTAGATAGTCCCAGGGATTTTGATGATCCATCTCCGAGTCCCAGTGGCCAGGCAACCATCAACATGGAACATGAGCTAACACTGCATCAGGCTTCCTTGTAAGTGTTTTAATATAGCCTACAAATACTGTAGTATTTTATATTATTCTCTGTTAGAACACCATCAGTTTTAATGCAGTAGTAATTATATCTAGGCTACTACATAAAGGCTCTCAGTATAATGTACATTAATTCTTGTCTGAAAAATAGACTAAACAAATTTGCAACACATTATTGAAGCTTAAAGTGAAAGCACAACTAGTTTTCTTCCATGATAGCTAGTTTAATATCATGATAACCCTAACCCAAACCATTACCCCTACATCCCTTACCCCTGCACCCCCTAGACCCCTGGACTTGTAGTTTTTTTTATTTTCAGAGTGGTTTAATATTTATGCTTTATTGTTAGAGAGGAATTGCTGATGAAACAACATGAAGCAAAACAAAACAAGAAACAGTTGCGCAAAAAACTAAAAGACTTTGAAGACGATTTCCTGAAAGAGAAAGGACGAAAACTTCAAAAAGAAGACTGGGTACCACTAGGGGAAGAATACGAACAGTACAAGGTACAAGGAGTATTTAATGTTTCTTCCAATCAATCGATCGATCAATCAATCAATCAATCAATCAATAGATCATCAATAGTTTTATTTAGACAAAAATACACATGGAAAATATTAAATTAAGCTAGACATATTTGGTTTCCCTTCATTATCATAGCCTTATGTGTATTTCTGTTTTGTTTTTTTCCTTGTATATGAATTTGGTCATTCATCTTGGCATGTACAGTATTTATACTCTGCAAACATTATGGTTTTTTTTTTTAAACTATTATGTATATTCTTTTTGTATATATTTTTTTCCCTGCTGAGAAGTAACATTTCTTAAAAAGTAAATTTTAAAAAAACTGCCGTTATTTTTTGCATTATTATTTATATTGAGATATATATTTTATAGTTATTACCATAATTGTTATACCTTACACAGTATGGCATATAATTTTTTTTTTCTTGTTCAACAGCATGTGAAAAAGCAGTTGAAGCTTCTTGATGCATTGATTTCAAAACATGATGATAGTCCACAGTTGTAGTTCTAAACCTGATTTGAACTGTTGCAAGATTTACTTACAAAAACATTTAAAATACATTTACGTTTTGCACTGCCACAGATGTCAGAACTGGAATAATATTAAGATGCGTTAGATTTGGAGTAATATTAATATGCGTTAGATCAAATTCAAATAATAAAATATTATCGTCATACTTGAATGTTGAACATTCCATTATAATCCTCATCCTCATCATAAATCATCATCAACTTCAAACTATAGTATCATTATCTTTTTATCCATCATCATCATCATCATCATCATCATCATCATCATCACCAACAACATTAACATTGGTATCATTTTCTTTATTGTCATTATCTTATCACCAACCTGATCATTTTAATCTTTATCATCACCATCACATTGACATCACTATCATTATTTTTGTCATCATCATCATCACCACCTTCATTAGTATCATTATCATCATTGCCATACCATCATCCTGATCATAAATTCTTTATCGTTGTCATCATTATCATCATCATCATTATTATCATTATCTTTATCATGGTTATAATAATCACTAACCTCAACCTGATCAGTCAGCCTTGGCCATCTATATTGTCATCCTTATCATCATCTTTCATTATCATACTCCTACTTGCCATTATCATCTGATATCTCCATCATTATCATGCATCCTCACCTTTTGCAGTGATGCTTAAGTTTCAAACCTGTCGTTTTTATAATTTAAGTCAATTTGTATTTTTCTAGATGCACATGTAGATGTCTAGATACATCGATATTAAAATATATGCACCAAAGAATTAAATGTGACCAAGTTAACTGTGAGATATATGTAAATTGTATTAACTGTAAACTGTACTTGTTATGTACTTTTTATGTTACCACATTATTTATGTAAACATTTAAAAATGCAATCTTGTAGGAAAATAATTTTTGATGAGATTGTCCTGTTTGTATGCTTATTTTCTCAAAACAAGCAAAAATCATGTACAAACACGACTATTGGCGCTAGCGATCCGTAGTGGTCGTCACAGTGCTCGACTTTGCCTCAGCAGAAACTAAAAAAAACTAAATGGATATCAAAGTGACACGTTTTATCAATGTATTGACGGTAAAGGTGTATGTTATATCGACTCTTGACTGTATTTTCTTTAAGGTGTGTGACCTCGCGCATAATCTTCAAAAAATTCCCAATCTCAACAAATCCAGAGGAAATCTCAAGCAAGCCAGTGCGAGACCCTTGACAGGTCCGACTATTGTTTGTTTATATCAGTACTTTGCAGTTAAGAAACTTAGATATGATGTAGAAAATTTTGAATGTTGCGTAACAGTAAATGTGTGGTGAGGTGATTAAGTTTGTTGATAAAAATTGTTTATTACACCATTATCAGAAATCAATAACTAATGTTAAAGTGTGTTAGTAAAAAAAAAAAGAAAAGGAGCTCCGGGCGAGTTGTTCTACTGAAAATCTTGTAGCATTTCCATAAATGTTGTAATTGCTGTGTGTGTTTTCAAAACCAAAATTCTAATGTGCAACAGAACACATAAACATGAACACTTTCCAAAATAATAAGGTTTTCTGTTAAATGCCTTATTGGTGTTTTGGACTATATTATTGGCTTGCCTTCGGAGAGAAGGCCAGAGGAGAAAAATATTGTAAAACAAATTTGCTGTTTTTCTTTTTATATGAACATTTTTGTGGAATATTGTACGTTTTGAAAGCTTTCAATATGGTTCCTCAGGCTGAATTTCTGTCCAGACAATCAAATTTAATTCGACATGCCTAAATATGGTAATGAAAGCATGATATCATGACCATATATAGGCACTTCATGTCTATATATGGGCATACAATGCAGTTTTTTTTTGTCAAAGAAAATGTGATACTGTGGATAGAGCCAAGTTCTAAGAACATGTGTAGCAGTGGTTAGTAATTTTGTTTCTGTTTAAAAAAAGAAGGAAATTTTTACTAAAGGAAATTCTAGTAAATAATAGAAAAAGTAAATTGCACTGTATTTACAATACTAAATTAGTTGTACACACAAAGTAAATTGAAGTTGTAAACCAAACTAAAAATACTAGCACAGAGGTAAATTGTAAATTTAGTTATTTAACAAAATCACATTTCATAGTTTTATAAAATAAATTGTTATACAATGCATAGTTTAAAAAAAAACCAAGTCAATGTTATGCAAGAGTAGTATTGTTTTACATGTAGCTGTTTTAATTTTCAAAAGAAAGACAAAATTTCAGTGGTTTGAGAATGATTTGTTATAGTACTGTAAATTTGCTATTCCTGATCATCATTTTATTTTTAAAACAATTGATTATTGTGTCCTTAAGCCTTGTCAGAACTGAAAAAAAACCCTGTTCACATGTCTATATATAGTCATGATGTGATGCCATCATGACCATATTTAGGCATGTCACATGTTTTTATCAAATAACATTTGATAGGCTGGGCAGGCCTTAGACTTATATAATATAACATTGTGTAAATAGTGACATTCTGTGTGAGATTTTGTATTTGCTGTTCCTATGTGGTTAATTTAACTTGTTAAATATTGAGCAAATCCTATATTCTGCAGATAAATGATTTAAGTTTATATAAGATGTATAATAGAAAATTATTTTTGTATTCTTTGATGATTGATAATATTGTATGTTATCTAAAAATATCAATAAGCTTTACTATAATAATTGTGTGCTATGCTTCTTGTAATTTATGTTCAATGTCCACAGTGTCATGTCTCCAGAGGTAATGATGTCATACCCCAGAAATAATGATGTCATAACCTCTGAAGGAATGATGTCCTATCAGCAATGTAAATCTTGCTTTTATGATTATAGATTTGTGATAGAAGGCAGTATTCGTTATCCTATAAATATATGTGGTAATAGTCATATATCAAATTGATTCAAAAGGTACACTACTTACAAAATTTCGAATTTAAAAATAGAATATTCTTAAAGCGTTTAAAAGGCAAACATGTTTGACTCAATTACATGGTGTACATAAGTCTTTATTATACAAAACTCTGGTATTACCAAAGTGTTGCTTATATATTTATTATGTTATAATTTATAACACTAAATAACCATGTCTAGTTGTAGCTTCATGCTCTGTATACAACTGTATTTGCTGTAGTAAAATGCTAGCCACAAATAAGCATGACCATTAGCCATTCACTGTTTCTCTGCATGTCACTTTTTCATGTACAGTATCATACTTCTCTCTTTCCTTTCATTTCTACTTGAATTCATCACTCGTTTATTTTTTATCTAATTTATGTCTGAGGCTTCTGTGAGGCGTGCTTTCTCTTAGGCAAAAGTAGATATATCAACTTGAATTATTATATTTTATACAAGAATACCTTGATTAATAATAGATATTTTTTCAAAATCCAACGAGCAAAATTAAAATAGCCTTTTTGTCCGTAGAAAACACTGGAGATTTATGTTTTGTATGAAATGTGAATGTAATTAATGTAAAAATGTAAATTTATAAATAAAACAATTTAATTGCTTTGAGCATTTAGTTCTTGTTTGAATTCACTGATTTTTTTTAGTTCCTATGCATGTAATGCAATAGGAACTATTGTAATCACTCTTGCTATTTCCTATGTTTTTTATTGTGTGTAGTGTGTATGTGTGTGTGTAGACATTTATGCAAATGCGCATGCGTCAAAGAA